TGAAACTGAAGAAGACAAAAAACCCAAAATTGAGGATGTTGGTGAGGATGAAGACGAAGACAAAAAAGATGAAGACAAAGACAAAAAGAAGAAGAAGACTATTAAAGAAAAGTACTTGGATGAAGAGGTCTTGAACAAGACAAAACCAATCTGGACACGCAACCCTGATGATATCAGCCAAGATGAATATGGTGAATTCTACAAATCCTTAACCAATGACTGGGAAGATCATTTAGCCGTCAAACATTTCTCTGTGGAAGGACAACTTGAATTCAGAGCATTTTTATTCATTCCCAAGCGTGCGCCTTATGACATGTTTGAGAACAAGAAGAAGAAGAACAACATTAAATTATATGTCCGTCGTGTCTTCATCATGGACAACTGCGAAGACCTCATGCCAGAATACTTGAACTTCATCAAGGGTGTTGTTGACAGTGAGGATTTGCCGTTGAACATCTCCCGTGAAATGCTCCAACAAAACAAGATCTTGAAAGTTATCAGGAAGAATTTGGTTAAGAAATGTTTGGAATTGTTCGAGGAATTGGCTGAAGACAAGGACAACTACAAGAAATTGTACGAACAGTTCAGCAAGAACTTGAAACTTGGAATCCACGAAGATAGCCAAAACAGAAAGAATCTCTCAGATTTGTTGAGATTCCACTCCTCAGCCAGTGGTGACGAATCATGCTCCCTTAAGGAGTATGTTGCACGTATGAAGCCAAATCAAACCCACATTTACTACATCACAGGTGAAAGCCGTGAACAAGTATCCAACTCTTCATTCGTTGAACGTGTCAAGAAACGTGGTTTTGAAGTTATTTACATGACTGAACCCATTGATGAATACGTTGTCCAACAAATGAAAGAATATGACGGCAAGAACTTGGTATCTGTCACTAAAGAAGGTTTGGACTTGCCTGAAACCGATGAAGAAAAGAAGAAGCGCGAGGATGATCAATCCAGATTTGAAAAATTGTGCAAAGTTGTTAAGGACATTTTGGACAAGAAAGTTGAGAAGGTTGTCATCAGTAACAGACTTGTTGAGTCTCCCTGTTGCATTGTCACATCTCAGTATGGTTGGACTGCCAACATGGAACGTATCATGAAGGCACAAGCACTCAGAGATTCATCTACCATGGGTTATATGTCTGCCAAAAAACACTTGGAAATCAACCCTGACCACCCGATCATTGAAACACTCAGACAAAAGGCTGAAGCTGATTGCAACGACAAGGCTGTCAGAGACTTGGTCATGCTTTTGTTCGAGACAAGTTTGTTGTCATCTGGTTTTGGACTTGAAGACCCACAAGTTCACGCTTCTAGAATCCACAGAATGATCAAATTGGGTTTGGGCATTGATGAAGATTTGCCAGTAGTTGAAGAAAAATCTGCTGAAGTTGAAGCCTCCGAGCCTGTTGTTGAAGCTGATGCTGAAGATTCTTCTCGCATGGAAGAAGTTGATTAAATTATTACAAAGTGAATTTATTTTGAAAGAACATTTCCTATATTTTTTATTGTTAAATATTATTTTGAGACTGATTTGTCCATTCTTTTTTTCTTTTTATTTCAAATTTGTTCCAAAATTAACTATTACATGGCAATTTATTTAAATCTGGTAGATTTGTATAATCATCTAATATTCAATGTACACATGTATAAGTTTGCTTGGAATATTCTAGTTGTATAAGGTGTTTACGAGTTTTAAAGATATTAAATACACATGGAATAATTTTTGTACATAAACTGAACTGATGCGTTTTTTTATCATTACCTAATTAATCTAATTTTAAATATTTTGGTGGTGTGCTGGATGTAATTACATTCACCATTTGGTTCTGAAAGAAATACAGTTTATGGAACTGTTGTACCATGTAGACATATAGTATAAATAATATGAAATTAATTGTTCATGGTTTGTGATAGGTAAAGAAATTGATTTTGGGATTGTCTGTATTTACTTGACAATATGCTGTAATTACAGTCAAGAGGTTTAAATTTATGGTATTAATAATAAATTATTCTAACATACTCCAATTAAATTTGGCATCATATACCAATATTTATTATTAGTATTAACTGCATTGAAATTAAACGTGTTGAATTTTATGCAAAGCTAAACTTTAAAAAGTATTAAAAATTAGTGATTAAGAAATAATACAAGCTATATTTTGCATTTGACTAGTGGCTTTTAATTGTGATTCTACTTCACTTATCAACTACTTAAAACAGTAATAATTATGTATTAATATGTACTATTAATATATTAACTTAAGAATTTTGTTAATTTTTACATAGATTTTCATTTTGATTTTTATGCTGAAAGGTTTGAGGAAAACCCAATGACAAATAAACAGTGTGATATTAATATTTATAGTCTTATTTTATATATTTGATATATTATGAATTATATATTTATTACTGACCATTACAATTCACATAATATTCAGTTAAGTAAATAAATAAGATAAATTTTAAAAATGTTTGTAAGCTTTTTTAACTCCTACACATTATTTGGTTGTCTTAAAGATTGAAAGTATATTTAGTCATTATTTTAATCCTTCATCACAATATGTAATTTGTTTTGGAACGCAATACAAAATAAATTATTGAAAAGCAACATAACCTTAGTAAGAATATAATTTAAAACTGCATTTCATTTTTTACTAAATAATTAAATAACTACAGAATATTTGTTATTTTTTCTATGACTACATACTACTCTCACACGGTACTGCAAGTTGTACAGATAAAAGACAGTTTGAGTTATAATTAAATATAAAAATAATGATTATTACCTATATCAATTGGTTTTAAATTCCTTAATTTTTTTTTAATATTCATTATTATTGTTTATGTTGATTTTATTAAGCCAACCTAATAAACTAATTATTGTGCATATTTTTATTGTCAGTTTGAAAATATAACTAATATTATCTTTGGGAATCTTAGAAGTGATGTGGGTATCGTAATATGGCAAACATTAAGAGAAAACATTGCTAGATTAGACAGATTAATATAAAAGTGTTAAAAAGAACCGTAATATGGACCAAGTAACTTTTTTTAATAAACTAAAAACAAAAAAATTGTATGTATCCATAACATTATAATGACTGTATCTACATAAGTATACTTAAAATCATGAAAATATTATTTTCAGTCATTATTATGAATAACACTTATTTAGTCGAAATTTTAGAATTAACAAGTTGACATTTTTATTGTTATTTAAGCCACGAAAACTGATGATATCTTGGTAATTGCCCATCAGCGTTTATCAATAATTACATAGTTTAGATATTATTTGATAAAAAGAGGAATTATTTATATCTATACTTAGTTCTAAGTTTATAATGTTTTTATGGGTTGATTTATTTGTTATCTTGGATTTTAATTTTTTGTCTTAATTTACTATGGTGACCTGTTGGCTGTATTTGCTACATTCTGTCACAGCAAGTTTCATTTCAATTTATAAAGTTAGGTTAATTAAATTAAATATAAATTTAATATCACTAAAATTATTCTGCAGCTACTTCTTCATTAATGACATTTATATAAAAAAAAAAATTATACCTAGTTATTACAAAAAGTGCTTTACTGCTTTGTGATTAAAAATTTTAATATCTAATAACCACAAATACCAGAGCTATCTAATCCTTATTAGTTCAATATTAATTATATCTTTTATGGTCAGTGTTTAGAATAAGCGAACACTAAATATTTCTATCAACATTCAACATTTAGAATTTAAAGTTAGAAGTTAAATATAATAAAATATTGAAACATCTTTTTAATTCCTATTAATGGGAATAAAAAAATTAATTAATTTAGTACTTTTCGATATAATGAGTTTAGGAAATAGTATTTATTGTCAAAACATAGGCATACAATAAAATCGGCAAAATTGAATAATAAAACATTGGGAAATATGCTCTTAAAAATTGGTACGAATTGACCACATTATCCAGTGTGGTGAGTAATATAGGCAAATTGTTTCCTATACATTAGTATATAAAAGCGGTCAAATGTGTAGACTACTGTATGTCTGTATTGAATGATAAATAAAAAATAATTAAGAGGAGCGAAGTGTAGCCCATCTATAGTTCTGTTCCCCCAGTTTGAAGCAATTGGTTATTACTATCTCATCTGAAACTACTTGACCAATCTTCCAGAAACTTGAAATATATACGCATTAATCATTGAATGGTGTATGGATTAAGTTTGGTGTTTTTAGATACTATCATTAAGTAATAATTATTATTAACTACCCATTTACACAATAAAAAGATCTCCAGACCAATCAACGTACAGTCAAACAGTATTATTTAATATGGTACCATTGCATTGCAATGTGGGGGTGCGCTATTTAAGGACTTAAAAATTTGGGCCAGCAAGGGTTTTGTTTCAGAAATCAGAAATTGAATATTTATTTGTATATGTATGTATTTGGTTGCCCAAACAGAAAATTAATTAGTTATTAGAATTAGATAAATTTGGTTACTGAACTCTTACTAATTAAACAAGTCAAAATAAGTAAAATGTTATGTTTTGTCTAAATCGATACCTAAGCCAAAATAATTTTTTTTTCGGTTATGAAAATGCTGTGATAAATCAATCATAAATTACACTAATGAAAATAATGAATTGAGATGCTATATGATAGTAAACAATATATATTTATAGATATTTTTTTAGAAGTTAATGAAAAAAATTTTTTTAGAAATTGCTCTGCCTCACTTTGGTCCACGGACACACCTAGTAACACAGTTCAGACGCAAGAGTATGAAAATTTTAGTCCGGCTGATTGATTGGTTTCTTTTCTTAATCAAATGTTATATATTTTTGTGACTTCAATATTTGGAATTTAGATTAAAATTCTGAATTCAGTTAACGTATTAAATATAATCACAAGATGTGTACTCATTTTTTTAATGAAAAATGCTAAAGTATCATCTATATTATATTTAATTTTAGTTTTTAGACTATAATCGATAAAACAATAATGTTTAAAAATAAGAACAACTTTATTCAACTTGATTGTTATGTACAAAAATAGATTCCAGGGTTTTGAAATTGTTTTAAGAGTTTTCTGATTCTGTGAATCTGTAAGCAAGAAAAAACTATATTAAATTACGGACCACAAATTTACTTTATAAATATTTTTAAGACAGGTAATAGTAGCACTTACTTGCATTTCAGACAAGTGTAAAACACGGTTTGTCCTTCATCGGCTGATCTTAACTGCACAGCAGCATAGGACATCTGGTTGTGACCGCATATGCTACATCTTCTCTCGGCAATTGGTCCATCATCTGCATCATTTTTGTTATATTCAGTTTTTACCACATTATCAATATCTTCTACAGAGTTCAAAATAATGTTGTATTCTGCTACAGAATTTCCATAAACTGTAACAAAGAATAACAATAAATGAATGCTTCATAATTTTTTTTATCAACATAGTTGATTAATCATGATTTGGTCCTTTATGTCCAATATAGTGCAGCTGACACCTGAGTTGAGAAAGGTAGTTGTATTGATTAGAAAACAATTTTTATAGGTTGCGCAGTATTGAAGAAATACCTGTAATCTTTGGTTGCTAATTTGTATGACTTTAGATTTAAGAGTTTAGTTACTATTAAATTATTTGTATTAGTGATGTAAATAGGAAATTTCCATTTTAGACATTTCTAAATTGAATTATTTGTTTTTATTAATATTAATTTTGTTGTGATAAAATAGCAATACTGCGAATGCTATACTACCCCGCAAATATTATCATTAACTCTAGTAATAAATTATGCTTAAAAACAAAATATTAAAAGTAAGTTAGTAAATAGTAAAATTGAATTAGACATTTCTTGAATATTAAACTTCTGAAATTTTACCTCACTAAATTTTGTGTACATTGGGATCTGGGAGTTATGTTTATATTAGTGATGGTATTTAATTAATAAAACTATTTTGAAAATTGTTATAAAATATGTCATGGCTAATAATAGTCAGTTTAGATCAGAACATTAAATAAATAATTATGAGAAAAACATTGACATTATTGATAATAAAATGTTTTTTCATGTAAATTGATGTTGAATTTTCTGTTTATAATCTTATATGAATCACAATCACAATTAATTTAGAATTATTAAAAATAAGATTACTGTTGTTAACTTACTTTCTGGCCCAAAAACAGTTTTACACGAATAACACTTAATAAATTCTTCCATACTCAATGAAGGTAGTATTGAACCACATTTAGAGCAAAATCCTGGATATGTTTCAATGTCGTTGTTTGACTCCATTTGACTTATTTTTTCTATAACAGGATTTAAGCCAAATTGAATATAATAATTTAAAGTTTGATGGTGGAACAATGTCATGAAAAACTAAGACAAGCACATGATTTATGAAGTATTCTCAATTTTATTTTTTACTTGATCATCCAATTATTCAAATTCTACATTTTGGAATTCTTAATTATACGTAAAGATCATGTTTTCAAATATTTTAATTTTTATGCAATTGAATGAGTGTTTTGTGGCAATCAGCATTACCTACAAACTTCTTTTTTTTTCAAATGAAAATCAACTTTTTACTGTGAATTGTTCGATAAGTATAACTATGCTGTTTTTAAATGTTGATTACTTATATAAATCTATATTTGAACGAGCATCTAATTACTAAGTTATTGATCTGCGTGTACTAACGATAATAGGTTTGAAAGAACTAGGGGCTATGATTATTAAGATATTATAGCAATTAATTCTTATGTATTTTTTAGTTATGTAATATTATAATATTATTATACTCTAGAAGTTTGCAAACAAAAGAAGTTGATTAAACAGTTATTATCGGAGATATTCAAGATTTTCAAGAAGAAAAATTTGATACGTATCAATAGGGAATAATTATGTTCTGACTCATATCAGATTCTGAGTCGTACGACGTGTAACTTCTTGAACGCTCAAAATTGACCTGATACGTATCGATACAGTCCAATTTCTTCCTTGAAATACATGATTGTTATGTTATGCTTGTATGTACCAATAGATGAAAGTTGTGCCACAGATTATAAGAAATTATTTTCATACAATCTGTGGTTATGCTAACTATATAGAAAGTAATTTATCATTACAGTTTAGTTTAAACTACAAACATAAGCTGCTAACTCTTAAGTCTAAATAGTAAATACTCACCAATCCGGCTCAAAAATCGCAATACTGCATTGCTGTTTGAATACTGAAATTGGTTGTCCCTTGTTCATCAAAATTCAAAACGAGCGTGGAGTTAGCAATTGGCCTGGCCATTGATAAGACCGTGTACATTGGGTTGCCTATACAAGACCCGTCAAAAGATTATACTCGGATTATTATACGGATTTATAATCGTGACATAGGCGGAGATCTTGTGAAATATTAAGGGGAGCTCAAATATTTGATGACAAACAGACCCATGGGGGCATTGCCCCCACACCCCCAACAAACTAATTTTTACATTAGATCACTCATAAAAAATTGTTCTCGTTGACTCGTTATCATAACAACTTAAATAGTTACAAACATAAAAAAAAGAATAATTAATAAACGATTTAAATTTAAATATTTCAAACATATTTGACCTAAATTATTTATTAAAAATCTAAATCACAATCCCAAAAGAAATGTGTTCCCAAGAACATCAAACAATAAGTAAAATATAATTTTAGTATAAGATGGTCAACACGGTTAACGATTCATTAGTAATCATCAGTATTCAGTAACCGCTGTTATACCATAGAACAACCACTCTTATCATTTTTTGGACAAGTGCGTATCACTCGACCACGGCGGTGTGAGAAAATGTGATTATGAATTTATTTTGGATTACAAAAAAAATTTCATTTCATTTGAATGGCGAGTATCGATGATCGGACGTGAATATTGCTGCTACGATGTTGGGAAATTTGAGGCTCGTTGCCCGGAGCTTTGCGAACAGTAAGAATACTAACTTACACTCAAAGATTTATTTCTAGTTCACTTGGGTTTTATTTGTTTTTTTTTGCGAATTAAGAAAATATTAGCTTATCAATTTTGATTAATTTCTAAAAAAAAGTCCTTTTATATTTAAATTGTAGTTTTCACAAATATTTCTTGAGATTTGGTGTGTTTATTCCGATTAATTTCCTCGTCTATTTCAATAGCTCCCATTTGTTTTTTTTACAAGAGTCAAATTGTGCATACTGTCTTATTTTCTTTTTGTCATGACACCTTAATTTTGTTTTATATTCTACAACTGTTTTTATGTTAAATATGACATTTAATATCTTGAGTGCTCTATTGCTATAAATAATATAGGTATAAGCAACACTTTTATTCATATGTTCAAGGACTTGTAGTGCATTCCTAAGAAATGATCGGTGTGAAAAAAATATGTTTATATGTTTTTCCATTAAACAATTCTTTAGATTTTATATATTATTAGTTATGAAGCGTAATATGTGGGCTATTTAAATTCTGTGGATGCAGACAGGCTAATGTACTGGTAAAGCTGTTGCTAAGACTGATAATTTATTCAATTTATTTTATGTTTAGTTACTATTGCTGCTGAAAGACGTCATGTACATCCAACAATACGATCCATATGTTCTTTAAATCAGCTGCCTTTAGGTTCACCTACATTACCTATCTCTATTAAACTGCCAACCATAATAACAGAAAAAATTATAGACAAGCCAAGTCCTTGTATTCCTCTAAGAATCCCTCGACCAACAATATCCCTTCCATTGGCTGATCCATTGGTTGATAATGATAATGAAATTCAAGCAGCTCGACTGATAGTAATTCGTCGTAAGAAAATGAAAAAACACAAATTGAGAAAGTTAAGAAAGCGCATGAAGTATGTGTGGGCCAAAGTTCGACAAAAGAGAGAAATGAGAAAAGAAAAGGCTTTTCAAGCTGAACTAATGGGACAGGTAATCTATGAATATTTATAATGGATACTTTTAAATTGGTGAATATTTAGTTTATACCTTTTTAATTGAGTATAATATGTATTTTGTATATTCTACTTACTACATACCATTGAAACAGATTAATTTATTGGTTTCACATTACAATACTAAAAAAATTCCCACGACAGAACAAATTTGTGAGTTTATAAAATGTTCATATTATAAAAGTTGTACATTATTTTCTTCTCGATACTGAATTATTTTGTTGAAGAACATCTCATAAGTTCAAAGAATTCTTTTTTCTAAAATATATTGGTGACTATCTGACATTTTACAAAATAGAAAATATTGATTTTAATTTTATACTGTACAAAATGTTATTACTTATTTATTAGTTAGTAAAATTAGGTTAGGTTTATTAGAAAAATAAATGAGTTACTCTGTCAATAATTATTTTTTTCCTTTAACTAATCTTCAGTTTTATGTTCTATCTTCAACATAAGTATACAGCTATAAACCTCAGTAAATATCTAAAAAAAGAAGAATATTTGATAGTAAAACAATTTGTGTGTCATTAATTTTGTAATAGAAAATGAGTACATCTGTATGGGCTTCATGATAAGGAGACAACTATTTACGTACTCACAAAGTCTAGTAACTATTATAATAACTATTTTTCATATTTCATATTTCTACAGGTAAAAGAAGCTGAGAAATTTAGTCCTGCTAATTATGTACAAGAAAAATTGAATATTGTTAACATGACAATATTGCCAAATAGATGGAGAGGAAAACGACTACCTGAATTTGTTATAAAGGACTTGATAGCCAAAGCCCAAGCTAAAAAACAAGCAAAAATCGAAACTCTAGAACGAAGAAAAAAATTTATGGCTTCTTACAAATCATAGTCATTTTAAGATTGTAAGAAATTTAATATAAAATAATAGTATAATAAATCTGTAAGCTTGGGTATTTATTTTTGATCTTAATCATTAATGTTGATAGTAAATTCTTATTTTCAAATCCTGTCTTCCTTTGTACACATGCAAACACTGGTTATGTGTAATAGAATAATACATTTTGTGTCAGCAAAAAAACTCAACACATATAATTGCCTATAGATAAATTGCATAACACTGTGGAAAAAACCAGATAGAAAACATGAAAATATAATTAAATATTTGATGTGTGTGACTATTTGTACACAGGTACATACATTTCTAATGATTTTTGTATATTGCTCATTTGTATTTGTCCCCATAGTAAAATAAACTTATTAGTTAGCACTTACAAAAAATTTATACAATTGACAGAAAAATACTCAACACAATTATATAACTTATTATTGTATACTTAATCAATGATATAACTTAATTAATAATAATAAATAATATAAACAAATTGTCCACAACCAAATTAAGAAATTTAATAATGAAATCTTATCTAGTTTTATACCCATATTCTTTTGCTAATTTATCAGCAATAACTAAATATTGAATATCTGTCGGACCTGCATATATTTCAGTTATCCTCGCATCTCTGTAGTGCCGTTCAGCTGGCATATCTGCAATATATCCAATCCCGCCCAGAATCTGTATACAATTATGTGTAACATATGTTGCCGTTTGTGATGCTTCTAACTTGGCCATAGATGCTGCCTAAAAATAAACCAATTAACAATTATATTAATACACCTAATATAGTCATATATAATATAATTATTTAATATAAATTTACCTTGGTAAAAGGGTGATTATTGTCTCTCAACCATGCGGCTTTCCATGTCAGAAGTCTAGAAGCCTCCAACCGTGTAGCCATTTTTGCAAGTCTTTGCTATAATAAACATTAGAAAATTCCTTATTATTACTAAGGCTATGGACTAGGGCTCGTATTTATATTTCATACTACAAACAAATGCATTTATATAACCAAAACATGTACTAAAAACTTCAAATATGTAATATACTCATTTTCCAATAAATTTAACATCAGCATTAGTAGTTTTGTAAAATGATACCCATATGGATTCATCACTATCACCAATTGAGTTTCTAATGAATAGAAGACTTTCTTTGTGAATTGATTGTATAATTTTATCTAAGCATGCTTAGTTTATCAATTTACTACTATATTTTCCAAAAAGATTTTAAACTTTAAAATTTTGAAGTTTTGATAGCAGAATAACAATATCATAAAATCTCGGCACAAATCATTGTTCAATGTATTAGAAACTGAGGAACTTATTTGATTTTCTGTTTTCTACGTTGGTTTTCTTCGTCCTTAATAGTATGTTTATGGGGTGACCCATGAAAATACACTCATTTTCTGTAGGAGGGGGGGGAGGGATTGGCTGCCCGGACAAAAACAGGTTTTTTGCCGTTTTACTTAGAAATTAAGAAAAAAGATTAAAAATCATGAAATTAATGCAAATAAAATGTTGAAAGGTCACAAAAATAAAATCTACAAAATTGATATCTTCAATTGTATAATACTCTTCTATATATCTACACAACACGTACACAATAAACAAACACAGACGAAACTACAATACATGCCCTATGGGCTCACCGTATGTCAACTACTCGGATATCAGAAATAAAAATGAATTAATACTTTGATAGGGTATATGGTGTTTCAGATAAAATGGCATCTATAAATAAGTTTTATTATTAATAAATAATATTTATTAAGTTTTATTATTAATAAATAATATTTATTAAGATTTATTATTAACAAAGACGACACAGTCAAATACCTAGGTGTCCACCTAGATGAAAAACTTACTTGGAACATCCACATAAACAAAAAACTCGTACAGGGCTACACAAGGATGATAATTCTTTACCCTCTAGTCAACTATAGATCAACGTTACAGATCAAGTCATAACTCCTCCTATATACCTTAATAATCAGACCACTTCTAACATATACCTGCCCTGTTTGGGCGGCAGCCTCGCCCACTAAAATTAAAAAAATCCAAACCCTCCAAAACAAATTCCTTAGAATTTGCCTTAAAGCACCTTGGTATATGAGGAATTGCCAAATACACAATGATACTAGAATATCCCTAATAAATATTTGGATTAAAACCCAACTTAAAAACCTTCACGCCAAGCTGAAAGATTCGGACGGAGCCCGCCATTACCAACTAGGAAAGTAAACCCTAAATAGGCGACTGCGACCTCGACTGTCCCAAGACATTCTCCTATCAGACACTGAAGAGCTCTCATCGGAAGATGAAGAATAAACCAACAAATAATGTCAAACCTAACTATGAATTAATATAGCATTGTAATCACTAACATAAATGTAAATATTAAATCTTAATCGTACTTGTAATAGCACTTAATGTGCTGAAACATTTTAAAATTAATAAACGAAAAAAAAAAGATTTATTATTACTACATTATTCAGGTGTCAAAAAAGTCTAAATATGTGAGAAAAAACTGAATTATTATGGAGCATGTAAAAACATTTATTTATGATAAAATATTTAGAAATAAGTACAATCAAATAAATGTTGTTCAATTGCAAATTACACAAGACAAATTTATTACTTGTCTAAATTGATATTTAAAGTCACAGTGAAAATGTGTATTTACATATAAATTGGAATCCTAATTATTACAAATGCATAGATTATAGTATCTGCGTGAACATAATTCTTACCTGAACAGCTGACAGTTTAATAATAGCATTACCAAAAGCTGTTCTATTTCCAGCATAGTCAATGGCACAGTCCATTGCAGCTTGTGATATCCCCAATGCTTGTGATGCAATACCTATTCTAGCCAAATCTATAAAAGATAATTTTATTGAAATTGTATTTATATACTACATATAAAGAAATAATTGAATGTGTCTAGTAATAGAATTTACTAACCAATTCCTGACATGGCTATTTTGAAACCATCACCTTCATTCCCCAACATATTTTCAACTGGTACAATAACATTGTCCAGAATAATATTACAAGAAGATGCTGCTCTAATACCTAATTTATCATCTCTTTTACCCCTTGTTAAACCTAAAACAGAACATAAAATAAAAACTTTACATTAAAAACAATTTACTTGGTTTTACATATAAAAATATAATTCAATGTTCATAAATATCATAGATTTAATATACAAACGGAAATAATTATATAGCTATTGAATCTAATAAGTATTGTATCAATTGGATTTCATAGTGGTAAAGCTAACGGCTTTCTAAAATATACATAAAAGAAGTTATCATTTTAGAGAAACGTACCTTACTACATGTAATTAGCACAAAAAGGTATATGAGTAATCTAAGTTTTAAGCCTGAAAGTTAATTAATATAATTGTTACCTATTAATCACAAAATAAATTAGTGTGCATATTTGAATTATACATTGAATATTCACTATATAATTTAAAAAATACCTGGTGTATTTGTTGGTACAATAAATGCTGACACACCGTTATGGCCTTTAGAAACATCAGAACGAGCCATCACAATAATTGCACCGCCTTCAATACCATTAGTCACCCAAGCTTTTGTACCATTCAATATCCAATGATCTCCTTCACGTTTTGCTATTGTCTGCATATTAGCAGCATCACTGCCATTTCCTAACCTTACATTAATACAAAGTATGGTATTATTTAAAATTATGATTGATATTTTTTAAAATTATTACCTGGTTCACTGAGAGCAAAACATCCAACAATACCTTTACTAATGAAATCTGGCAGAAATTGCAATTTTTGTTCAGGAGTGCCGACTTTGTTTATTATACCTGCATATAAAGCATTATGAATACTTACAATCGAACCAGTTCCACCACAGCATCTAGTCCAAGTACATATTATATTAATATATTTATGTTAGTAAACCTTAAACAAGGATTTAAAAACAATTAAGTCCCAACATAATGCAGTGGTACAGGTAAATTATAGCCGGACACAATTTACAGCCACCGTCAAGACAATAAAATGCCATAGCTGTAGTGTGTAGCAACCTTAACACAACAATATATTACCTGGATATTTCCTCAACAGCTATTGATAATGCAAGAGAGTCAGCTCCTGAACCACCATATTTCTTGTCAACTACAACCCCTAGGATTCCCAAATCAGCTAATTTTTTAATCTGTAACAAAGATATTAACATGAATATAAACTTGAAAGTTCTTCATCCCAAAAATGAGTTTTTATGCTAATCAACCCATATTTTGTAGAGAAAGTTTATATAATTAACACTCATTACTAGTTTACTGGCTTATTGTACATAAATATTCTTTGATTTAGTATACCTACATCGTATTGCTACCGGTGCGTATATATTATTTTATAATAATAATGTAAGAGTTAAAAAATATTAGTCAATATTTTCCAACTGATATGTATTCTCATCATAACATTAGATAGGCATTCCTCTTTAATGTTAAGACGAGTATTCTACAGTTAAACAATTTTAAGTCGGCAAATATTTCTACAAAAGCATCAGTATTTATATTTTATTTACTTGATCAGAAGGGAACATCTGTTGCTTGTCTAGTGTTGCAGCAACAGGCCGTAATTCAGCTTCCGAAAATTCTCGACACATATTTTTTAGTTTTGAGTGGGTCTCAGGTAATACCAAACTGGAAATGTTTCGGACACCTGAATGTTTAAAACAAAATTTCAATCACAAAGCTAACATTAAAAATTTATAAAAAATATAAGCATTTACCTGCCGATGGTCGTAAAAACGTGTTCAGTGAACGCATCATGAATCCGTGGACGGGTATAAAAATGAAAACGTATTCGATAAACTTATCCACATAGAAATGAACACTCAACTCTGAAGTAGGTAAACTATTATGCCGAAGGACAGTATAAAAACGACATCGATCGAAAACGTACACAATTTATATTTTGTACTGTCGCTATTAAACCCCATACAGGCAGTGAGCACTTAGTACTTACGTCACTGAACGTCGAGTGCAATGGCAATATTATAGTTATAAAAATTAAATCCCAACCTGCAGAGGTGATATTCCTACATTTGGGTTTTGACGTTGTGGTGGTGGGCACGATTCAAATTTGATGACTGATAAGACATAAACTGTTTCAGTTGCTGTTATCAAAGTATCAAACTGATGATGAGTGATTACAGAATTCACAACTTCCGCAATACCCACGGTTTAAGATAGACTAGGTATAGTCATTGATTAAATATACATTGTATATTTAATCAATGGTATAGTCTATCTTAAACCGTGGCAATACCATAGAACATGAACAATAGAATATTAAACTGATACGTCAAACCCTCAAAAATATTATCCTCTATAATTTTTGAGGTTACTCAATAATCATAAAAATTAAAAGCGTACCTACACAAAAAAAAATATTTTTTTTTTTTTGGGGGAGGGGGTTGGTTGTACATTTTCGTACATAAATAATTTATTCTAACCTATAACCTAACTGGAAGTTTACACAATTTAATTTATAGTACTATTTATTTCTCATGAAAAACGTCATTATTAAAAAAATTTTAATTATTTTTATAATATAAAATCTAATTTTCGAGGAAGTCTTGTAAATCTGTTAATGACTTCGTCAATATCAATGTAATGTGTCAATTGACGATTATAGATACTGATCGAGCACTAAACGAGAATGTAATTCATATTACGAAGGCAATGCGGGATATTAAATAAAACCAAACTAAAAAATAATAACACTTATTTCCTGAAATTTCGGGGGGGGGGGTTATAGGGGTCCCCCCCTTGTATACGCGCCTGGATATCATAATTATATAATATAATGCGGCGTATTTAGGAATTGTAGAATAGGGACAGCAAGTATTTTGCCCCCTCCTCTTCTGTAAACAATTACTTGTATTATTTAATATTTATTAAAACTTCTCTTATAAATCTAAGAGATATTATAAAATATATTTCTAGGTTTTTTCTAACATATGACTGGTGGGAGGGAGTGGGGTATAGATTTGGTGAAAAAATATTAACGATTGACTTCAGTCTGTAGTGTGTAACGTTCAAAATAAAATTATGCATTAGGTACTTATCAATCTTTAAAAATGTGCTTCCCTGATCAACGGGACCCATAGCCCCTACCTAAATACGCCCCAGCTCATTTGTCTACAACATGTTCATAGGTATATAATATCTACTAATATATTATAATCACAGAAAGAATAGATTAAATAGACTTCATTTAATATTATAGATTTCATCTATTCTGTGATATTATGCTCTAAAGATTATCATAATATAATTAATACATATTATACATGTACTCATCGTAATGGTATACCATTGATTGGGACTCTTAACACTTAACTGTAAAAATAGTTTTTACTGTTCAGTAGTAACTGGTAGATTAATCTTCTTTGGCTTAGATCTGCAGGGGGGTCTTCTGCAGTCGTCAACTTTTGTAGGACCCTAGATGGGTCTGAAATCTTATAACTCGTTATTATGGGCTTTTTTAAGGATATTGAGTAAGTAGGTATTAAATTATTTATTGGTAGAGTCTGGTTGTTTTTGATGTTTTTGTATTTTGTCCCCTTTGCTTTCAATGATTCTTGCAGCGCCTTTATATCAGAAACGGAATATTTGGTTACATATTGGGCAGCTAGGATAGTAGGGTTAAATTGTATGGGTATAAATGTATAATAGTAACTAGTAAGTTCCTACAAGTAGCAAGTAAACAATTACATACGTCAGTTGCTCCAAATTATTTGAGTAAGTTATTTTACGAATTTGATGTAAATGAGGTGTGTATGTTCTTACACGGAAAAAACTACTTACCTACATTAGTTCCTACACCAATCTACACTGAATTTGTATCACCAACATATCTCTTAAATTATTAAAATAATGAAGTTCACAAACTTTTTCAAGTAATTACATACACAAAAAAAATTAGTAAAAAATAATCTGATATAGAAAATGTTATAAATGAAAACATTTTTGATTATACAACAAACAAAATTAATCAATACCTACGATTATGTTGAATATTACAGTTTATGAAATAAACCATATAAAATATTAATTTTTTTTCAGTTATTTATTTATGAAATGTATTGCTATTTTTAAAACTTTCTATCAAATATAACATATATTTTTTTACAATTATTATCAGAAAAATGTTTTTTAGCTGGATAGAAATTTTTTTCGTTCCTGACCGATTTTTCTTAAGGTTTTTTTTGTTATGATAACTTACTAACAAGAACGTATTTATGATTCATAGATTTTCCTTGTAGAGGAAATATATTGAATAGCGTTCTATGGTTTTTCTTATTGTGATATTTTTTAGACCACTAAACTGACTTCATTTTGAAATATAAAATACTATAATTCATAATTTTTTATTTTATTATAAAAATAATTATTTAAATAAGTTAACAACATTTATTATTCCAATTATTATAGACAAACGATTTTTGTAGGAACTTACATTAAAAATTTTTTACCGTGTAGGAATTCAAATATTATATAATATATCATTTTTTCCACAATGTAAGAAGTAACCTATGTATTTTTTAACTTGTTTAGAAACTTACATTTACCCAATAATTTCTAGTATACCTAGGGAGGTACTTACTGCAGTAGATATATGTATATACAAATTGTTGTGTTAAGTTGTATATCTAATTATACCTTTTTTACAGTACAATTATATATATATAAAGATACATAATATTATAATGTGCATCATTTGATAACCGCAATAGATTTTATATTGAAAATAGAGGTAATGTAGGGGTAGGTAGTTATGTTTTCAAAAATAAATAAATTATGTTGGTTAACTACCTTTATGTTTTTGTACTTAGTATATTTATAATAATATTTTATCTATAGGAACTTAAAAAATAAATAATTAAGTAAACTTAAAATGTTGCACCTAATTAAAATTATACCTATAGTTAATATGTTTGTATTACAAATAATGATTTTTTACAATTAAACATACTTCAGTAAATTTACAATTGGTTATTGGAAGCATAATATGTAATTTAAATTTGTTGGATTAAATAATAATATGTTCGTATGTAAAATGTATTGATAACCGATAGGTTCTCCTTTTAAATTTTAATAATATTAAATTATTTAATATTTGACTAGTATTTGGGTAACTCTCATTTGGCACAAAATTATATTCTTAAAAAACCTCACACAACTTGTGCTTGTTGCTGTTCCGGATCAAATGTAAAATCTTTCATCGTTACATATGCCATTCCAATTTCGTTAACAGGTTTAGGAATTTCATATTTCACTTCTTCCTCCATATTTTCAGCTGTAGTTTGATTGTGATTTGCTAGCTCCTCATCTAAAAGCAGTAATTTTGTTATCAAATATATTCAGTCATATGTGGCCGTAATTAAAAAATTACCATCCATAAAGTAACACAAGTTGTTGACAATTTGTTTGAAATCCAATTTTAAGTAATCGTTTCCTTTTTCCAACATTTCTTCTAGCGACGTTGTTAATGATTTAAAACTGGGTCTTCTGTATTGGTCTTCTGCCCAACAGTTGTTCATTATATCATACCTGTATGCATTGTGCAGAAAATCAACATATAACGGTTGTTTTCAAACCAATGTATTATTTAAAATTTCAAACATTCTATAACCATACAATAGAGGCAGACACCTCTACGAGTGGCACGCTAAACGGAGATATAAAATATACTTGGTAATACGACCGTCTTTGCTCAGTCATTTTTTGTAATAATTTATTACTTAATTTAAATTTAACACATCTTCATCACGAATCTAGGACAAAATATCCAAGGAAAAAATATCCTGTACTAAAATATCTAAGTCAAAATATCCAAGGTTAAAATATCCAGGGATAAAATAATCAATATATGGGACAAAATATCCAAATAAAAAAAAAAAAAAATGTATTATTAATACTCATATAATTTTTTTATTTAAATTCATTATATTGTTCTTTTTTGAATCACGTTTTAATATCATTTAATACCAATAATACTTTATAATACAGTAATAAAATAATAATAAAAATAATATGTTGCGTTATATATAATAATTATATCTTTAGTTATAGGAATTGTGTATTACATTATATCATCTAAAAGTTTTTAATAATATTTAAAAAAAATTGTTTAAAAAGAGGCAATAAATTATCGTATTATATTTGCTATTGCAATTAAAAAAATATCTAATTATTTTTCACCATTAATATATTCAAGACAAAGGAGCTTAAGTTTTATTATTATTTTTACTATTATTATCTTATTACTCTATGTCTATATTACAAAGTATTATCAATGTTAAATGTGATTTAAAAATGAATAATGTATCTAAAGAAAAAAAGGGGGAACAAATATTTTTTTTTATTTGGATGTTTTGTCCCATATATTGATTATTTTATCCCTGGATATTTTATCTGTTGGATATTTTAACCTTGGATATTTTGACTTGGATATTTTAGTACAGGATATTTTTTCCTTGGATATTTTGTCCCAATACCCTTCATCACACTAACCTACTTAACGACGAAGTGCTCTCGAAATCTAGGATCTACTAGACACTAGGTATACAGTGTTATCGTTTTTTATATTTTTCTTAAATTATAAGGAAATTATGAACATCTGAGTATTAAAATCAGCGTGTATACAAAACTTTTTATAGCTATATATTTTAAGTCTTCTGTTTTAACTTATCAAATTAGTAGGTATAGGAGTAGGTATCTAATTGTTTTAATTTTATCGTTATCATTAAAGTTTTACTGTTTTTTTAATACCTAAATTATTCCTAAAAAATCACTTTCAATGATTTTAAACTTAAATAAATTATCGTGAGTCTGAAATTTTCTGAGAACGTTGAGTATTTTATAATGTTAGGTATTACATATTATTAAAGTGATATTATTTAATAATTAATATGATACAATAATTGTATTAAGATATGGACTTCGCATGACTTCTGTCGGAAATTCTGATCTTGAACTAATAAGAGAACGTTGTAAACGTAATGCACAGTAAATTAGTCCATAAAGACACAACGAAATTGTTAACATACGTAATAAATAATAATTTAATACTTGATAAAATAGTTCAAAAAATAAATTCCTCAAAAGGTTTTTGTGTTCTTGCTGATGAAACTGCTGACATAGCTGGAGTAGAACCGTTTTCAATTTGTGCTAGGTATATTTAAAATAATGAAATAAAAGAAGACTTTCTAAATTTTGTTCCAGTAAAAAGTACAACAGGGGAAAATTTAGCTCATATTTTAATAAAAAACTTGGAAAATGTTGGTACCAATAAATGTACAATATTTAAGAGGGCAGGGGTATGATGGGGTGGCTGCTATGAGTGGAAGGTTTAACAGGTTGACTGCCTTGTGTACATTTGTTTGTACACGAACAAATCTCCATACTTGTATAAACAAATATTTTTATACTATCCAACAAATTTTAAACGATAATTTGCAAAAACTTCTTTTTTTATAATTTTGTTTTTTTGTTAATTAAAATATCCATTTTATATCTTCGCTGAGTAGACAAACTGGTCCTAGGGGCCACAATATTTAATTCCAATGTTAAATCAGTACAGGCGTGTACATATTTCTGTACATGGAAAGAAAAATGGTAAGTAAAGGAGTGTACACAATTTTGTACACACGGCACAGGGTAAAAAGTATCAAAAATCATTGTGGCAGTTAACTGGTGTTCAAATTATAATAAAACAACAGTACAAGTCAACTGTATACGTTCATTGCAGTGTTCATGAATTAAATTAGTAATATGTAGTTCTTGTGAAATATCTTGTATCAGAAATGCTATGGGTGTTATTGAAAGTATATATAATTGTATGAATACTCTTAAACGACAGTGTGTGTTACAAAGTGAGGTAAGAAATAAAATATCAAATTATACAAAATTCAAAGAAAGAAAATGAATAAAGTTATGTGCGACACTGTGGGTAGAAAAACATGAATCTATTAGGAAATTTATTGATTCACAAGAAGCTATAGTGAGCTTATTAGAAACAATGACAGTCGAGAGAGTGGGTTGATAAAGAAACTTCCTCAAAAGCAACACAACTACTTCTTTAATTAAGAGATACAACATTTAATATAAGTTCACTAGTTATTGATGACATTTTTAAACATTCTTATACAACATGTACTCCTGAAAGAAGTTTTTCATCTTTAAGAAGACTTAAAACTTATTTAAGAAGAACTATGACAGAAAATGGACTCAATGGTTTAGCCATGTTAAGTATCCACCGAGAAGAACTTGTAACTCCTGGAGAAGTTATTGAACTTTTAACTTATTAAAAAAAAATAGGAGACTGAAATTTTAAATTATTAAAAATTATATTTTATTACGTCATCAAGTTCAATTTTAATTGAAATACTACGGTGTTATGCTTATTTCTTTCACCAATTAAATAGTTTATGAATAAACATTTTTGTTGGTTTTTCAATGATATAATTTTTTTATACTTTTTACATGTTAAAAAAATTTGGGCACCCCTTTATAAATTCTTGGGTACGTCCCTGGTATAATTGATCTCAAAATTAAAAGGCACAGATACCAACACTTTGTAATCATTCTGCGTTTAATCATATTTATACCTATCAATAAATGATAACCTATTTACTTACAATTCAACTGAACAGTTATTTGGTTTATCCATTCGGTATCCTTCTTTCAATAGTTTAAATAAATCTTGAACAACTATTCCAGGATATGGAACTGCTCCTAAAGTGACTAATTCCCAAAGTAAGATTCCAAAACTCCAAACATCTGATCTACTCGTGTATATATGATCTGCTAATGATTCTGGCGCCATCCATTTCACTGGGACTATGATACAATTTATGTTTATTAAATTAGTGTAATTCAGACTTATTAATCAAAGAAAAAAGTAAACAGACCCCTTCCTTTCGTTTTTTTGAAATAAGCATTATCCTCATAAACATCTCTGGTCAGGCCGAAGTCAGATATTTTACATACTTTATCTTCAGTAACTAGAACGTTTCTTGCAGCCAGATCTCTATGAACTAACTATAATATATAATATATGTATAATCTGTGTATTTTAGTACTTATTTAGTTAAATAATTTTATATTGATGTCGAATTATTTTTTTAAACACTTATTAGTTATATACAATTTTTTTAATTATTAGTATTTTATAAACATATATTTGTGATTAGTATTAAATATTATCTAATTCGTATTTTGGGGCGATTAATTTAATTTAATTTTATCTATACTAATTTTGTGAAAAGTTATTTATATTCAAATAAGCGTGTTACCGACTTACTATTGTACTGCATCTTGTAATTTTGACATCACAATTTAGGGTTTCAAAATCCAAATTGTTAGGAATAGTTATATTTTACATAATATTTTTTAAACAATTTTAAAGATTTTTTTTTTTGTTTTTCCTTTATAATTTTTAAAATTATTTGAAATTCCTATACTTAAATAAATGTTTTTAGATGCAAGTAAAAAGTATATAGATTTTGAATAGGTATTTCATAAATGGATTGGTCAAAATAATATTTAATAAGATAATAAGTTAAAGTTAAACTCTTAATTAAAAGGTATTTAAGTATATTATTTTAAATATATTTTCAAAGCATCCTTTGAAACAATGAGTGTACCTGTGCTAGTTAAAATTAAATACAAACGAAATATTTTACTTTTAGTTCTGCAAGATAAGCCATTCCCTTGGATATTTGCCAGGCAAATTTTAAAATATCTCTTGGACTGATCGGGTAAAGTGGAAATGCCATAGATACCAGGCTTTCGTTTTGCTGGAAATTTCCTGCCGTATTGGAAACAAGGCCATTTGTATTGTTGTCTAGGATTCTACTCTTTCGGAGGTATGATCTAAATGATAATTTTTTTTTAGTAAATGTAAATGTATTATTAAGTCAACTAACCTAAGCGAACCGTATTTGGCATATTCAATTATAAGGTAAAATGGTCCTTCTTGAGTAGTACAAGCTCCAAGCAATTTAACTACATTTGGATGATTAACGTCTTTTAACAAGTTGTACTCTGACAACAAATCATCCTTTTCGGTTTTTCCCGCATCGTTTTTTATTGTTTTTACGGCGACCGTTGACATGCCTATATTATAATATGTAGAATTTATATTTTAAGATGCATATACATTTTTAATAAACACACAAAGTCGTAAAATAATGTTGGAATGTGACCCCTTCAATGACACTCTATCGAAGGGGTGAGACAACTTGAGTATGCATATAATAGCTACAGGACGACATGTAGACGCCGCCGTAGCATTTTTATTAATAATAATGAATGTGTTCATATATTAATATATTATAGTTCAAACGCTTACAGCCTTATGAAGTCATGAGTTCCTTACCAAAATCGAAACGTGACTGTCGACTGGAAATTTTCCGGTATAATAATGGATTGAATTAATATTTTTAATTCATTATTATTATGCAATTTTTTTTATTTGAAAATTTGAAATAATGTACAAAGTAAAGTGCATGAAATTGTATAGCTTTTATATATGTATGCATATTTCATGGGTAGGTTATATTAATATTAGTTGAATAACTACCTTTTGTACCAGGAATATCTATAGCTTGAGCTTTTAGAACTTTACCAAATTCTCCTTCGCCAATCACCTGCTCCAGAATAAGTCTACTTCTTGGAAATTCCCATTTAGGGTCAAAGTCCTGTCAAATAAATTATGATATCAGTCGTGTAATAATAATGACCATTGTGTTATTTACAGCATTAATAGTAAAAGTATCTCTGTTCGGTATTGGGTTCCGTTGATATTCATCTTGATCGTAGTTTGGCAACAGTTCCTCGAGTGTTCTGACGTTCCTATTCGTTTTATTACCACCCAAAATCCATACGATTCTGGAAACGATTTTATTGTTTTGATACAAGTATACAACTATCATAATAATAATATTATTTTAGTTCAAGTTAAGACTGAAACTCACCTATTTCTGCAACAGTACATAACAAGTCCAGTTGTTACAAACGCTACTACTATTATTATGCTCGTATTAACATTGCTGTCGCACCAATTTCCGCACGTGTCTTGTTCATCATTTACTGAATAAAAAATAATATTTCGATGGTAATTTTTAATAACAAAATTAATTTAGACTCAACACTTATGAGCAACAGATGAACTATTTACTTGGGGTATGTGCTAGTATAACGGACTCATTTTGAATTTTTTGACTTTTCGACGGTCCTGTGGGGAGTTTTGTTTCACACGTACATTTTCCAATTTCGTCACACGTACAAACGCCTTTAGCTGCCGAAATCCCTGTAGTTATACCTTCTTTTCCGGTGCCAAATACTTCATCTTTATCATAATCATCATAATCATATTGTAAAAAATATTTATATTAGTAACTAAATAAAAGTCATAATTACTGGTACAGTCTTGTGGGCATATTAAGTGGTTCATTTTTTCCAGGCTGTCACAATTTCCATCTGGACAAGTGTTGATATCCGGGGTACAAGTTGAATAAGTCGCAGTGAGTATATCGGGGTTTGATGATTCTCTCCATTGGCATTTTGAGATAGTTCTACGAAGATTTGAATAAATATTAGTTATTACTTATTTCTACCTATTGCATCATATATATGAAAAAATTGTGCAGTTAAAATATTATTTGCTCAAACTGCAGGCAAAAATATTACTTAATATAAATGGTTATAGTTGGTTTTAAAAACTTCATAATTTATAATTTAATCGTGACATTAGGAAAACAGTATGGACTCGTAATGACGATGAATGTATAATTAATAATTATTCTTAAAACAATATCAAAATATCATCTAATACCTAGGTAGAGCATGAACATTCTGTTTTCAATTTTAACTATTCAGTGACATTTTATTGATTATAAAAACGCATGAATTGAAATAAATTCCTTTATAAAAAAAAATTTCAAATTCTTATACTTTACACACCCTATTCCACATGACGATGTGCATTCCGATTTTGTGTCTAAATGAATATCAGAACAGTGTGATGTTTTCTTGCATTGTTCATCTGGTAGATTGTCAAGTTCTATAATTATTTCTGTTTTTTTATTTTTGCCATAACTTATTTTCAGCCTAAAAAAGATACTTAGTTTTCATAACAATGTTAATTAATAATAAATAATAAGTTATTCTGTACACTTTTGTAAACCCGGTTCACTGACTCTATCTATGATGATTTGAATCATAAACTAGTAAACAACCATTAAAAATAAATTATTTGAATTTTTCTAAACTTACGTAAATTGCGAATAATTAAATGTTCGTAGAAGTTCCGCATTCTTGATAAATACTATTCCACCCTTTTTTGTTATACCAAATACTTCAGAATCTCGGGTATCTTGATTATCAAAATTGAAGTTTAATTTTTGTAACTTTACACTGGATAAAGGTTCGGCAACACGGACGAAATCACCAGAATTTTTGTTCACTTTATACGTGACATTTGCATAAATCTAATAAAAATTAATCACGTCTTAAATAAAAATTAAATAATAATGATATAAAACATGTCAGGGATTATAATATAGGTATATAATCAACAATTACTGAATAGATTTTTGAAGGTTAAACAACTATGTAGTCTACGTCTTGCACTATCTTTATTTGACCTATCAATATCATGTAAATTTAAACTTATACGACTAATTCATATTTAATTGAATAAATTAAACCCAGCCAGCGTTTATTTTATCTTCTCCAAAACTTTACCACAAGATTCAATACTAAATTATCTCTTTCAAATGTAATCTTCAAATAATAAAACTACTTAAACATTTACAGATTTCCTATTTCTTTACTTTGCATTGCAATATAGACTGCAATTAAAATTAAATTACTTTATATGATTACTATATATTTTTATTAGTATTTCATAATTCGTTCTGAAATTATTGAGCTGTGATGATTTATATGAATAAAAGCTAATAAATACATAGGTGTATACGATATACCGATTACCTATACATATAGTTGATATAGTTAATTAAATTTAGTCTAGTCAGTAAAAAAAAAGTCTTGAACGTTTTCCTAACAAAATATCTCATATCATTCTATATTTTATAGGTCAAATATGTTGAGTTCATTATACTTAAAGCTTTATAAAATTATGTTCTACCTGTGTGACGTGTGGAATAATATCTCGTTAGCGAAATTAAACTTTTTTATCATTAGTTATCAGTTTGATAAAGCATCAGATTTCTGAGAATCTCATTTGTAAATCGTGACTGCATCGTATAATATATGTGTGTGAAACACCCCTTTAGGCGACCTATTTAAAGATTGCTTACCATTAAGCTTTCAAATTTAATTGAAATTGCTCTCATATACCAAACTTAACGAATAAATAACTATTTAAACTTTTAATTATTTTAAAATGACCACCAGTACGCTTTGGGGGTTTGAACTTCTTTTTCCTTGACTCACATTTAATATTTTTACACCACCCACCCTAAAGTATTTTTTTCGCTGCTTTCCAAATAGTGAATACATAGGTTATTATAGTGATGGTTAAATAATGGTCAAATAACTTTTCAACTACTTTATTCAAACCCCGGAACACCCAAATACTAATATTTTTGTGAACCTCGTGATTCAAATCGAGTATTTAAAATATAGGTTTAATTAGTCTTTAATGTTGTAATCAAAATAACTCAAAAGGGTAGGATAGATATATCCGAGGTTAAATGCATTAAAAACCGCGTAATATATATAACTTAAGTAATATACTAATATATGGGTACCTATTAAAGTGTTGTGTTAACATATGTCTCTAAATGTGTTCTTCGAATAACGCAATATTTAGTTATACCTATACTGGTTAGGTACATAAACTGTTTTAGAATTAAAATTGTAATAATCTTAATTTTTTAGTATCTGTATAGTATAAAATACTGACCTGTGATGACATAGAATCGGAGGTATCGGTCCTTTTTTGGTGACTACCGTGAGTTATTACGCCTGGTCACGTCAAAAACGCATAAAAATGTATACAATATTAATAGTAATTATAAACGTGCTGAAATGGTTTACATCATTTTATAATCAAGTAAGGTCACGCTTAAGTTTTACCCAAAGGGCTTTTTAAAAGATTTATTTACATTTATACTGATAATATTTTTTATTTATACTAATAACCTTGAGAAGATTACTAGTGCTGAATCAAAGAAGTTCGTGTAACAATTAATATTATATTCGACTTAATTTAGTAGTATTTTCTCTGCACGAAACTAATATAGAGTTCTCATTTTCTTAATGCAACCAAGGTGTTTACTAGTAAAAATTCGCAATCAATACATTTTAGAGCTAAGCTATACATTTATTAACTTATGAATACATCCAACCAAATTCAATTGTCTATTAGGCACATTTTTATTATTATTATGAATACCATGAATAATTGTGGTTGATTTAAATTGTATATCTATTTAATAATACTGTTGACGATGAATTACACATAGGGACTATTTTAACATTTTGAATACCTACCTCTAGATAATTTCAACTTGAAAAAAATATTACCAACTATGTTATTGTCCTTAGATTTAGTTATGTAAAAGTAATTTATCAACATTGATTTGTTGAAGTTGAATCTAGCGATGAAATGAAATAATGAGAAACTTTCCAGGTATAAAAAAAAAAAGGTGGATGGTGGATCATAAAAATATAATAAACATACTTAAGATGTCCGACCACTCCATCACAAGTTTATTACCCATTGTGCTCCACAAAAGCAAAATCAATATAACTTTAATATTGCATACCTAGTTACTTAGGTTAGGTTAGGTTAGTAGATATTATAGACTGTAGTCATCGGTGACCTTTTTTTTGAAATTTAATTTTAACTTAATCTAATTTATTAGTTATGCGTTAATTTAAAAAAATAGTGTTTTGTACTTCAAACGAACCAATAGTATAATGTTCTTAATATGATTAGTAAATTAATGACTATAAGTCCGCATACCTAATAAATTTAATACAACATGTAAAATTACCTACTAAATATTATTCTTATGTAATATATGCGTTTACTTATATTTTTTTGTACGTTGGTCTTAAAATGCAAAAGTCAATAAACAATAAAAGATAACACAAGTTTGAATGGGTGCAAATATATGTTTGGACTAGTATAATCTATTATTTAACTATCATTCGAACGATTATTGTTAATATTATAAAAATGAGTAATTTATTAGCACATTATCTACTACCAAAACATGTGATAAAGTTTAAAATTAAAAAAAAACAAGCTCAGTACAATAATGGCATGTAAATTAAAATTATTTGATAAATAGTAAATTTAAATAGGTATATAATAAATATTTTTTCCTTCTAAAATATTATGTTTTTATAGCTTATATTTAAAAAATATTTTTGTTTACAATCTTTAACGAATATCTTTATTGAGAGAAACATCATATCATGCATCAAGTTGAAGGTAAGCCAATACCATTGATTTTAAATGTATATTGATTATAATTTAGTATTTATAATCAATACCAATAGATATGAATTTTTTTTTTAAGCTTAATTCGTAATTACAAACACATTAAAAAAAAGTTATTATTGAAGTATAAGTTGTTATTAAAAACATATTTAGAATATATTATTATTATTATTGGGTTAAAAATAGTAAAACTTATTGAATCATAATGTATAATTATGTGTGATAATTGTAAATATAAATAACAAAATTATATTTTTTTATTGATAGGTAATAATTGTTTAATATTTAATTATATATTCACTTACCGTATGCGGCTGTAATCCAAATAAGCATATGCCAGTTGCAAATAGAAATCATGACACTGTAAACCAGAATGATTGCGTTATATTTATTCTTATTGTTCAATAATTTAATGAACAAAATATGTTGTCAACAGGTCTACTACACTACTCCAACTGCGCGTCGCACGAGTTTCACGTGTCGAAAAGTTTTCCTCAAAACAGTCATGCTCAGTTTTTCGATTTCCTCCCGCAACCCCTCCGTATTGTTAAACTTATATTATATTTGTCTTTTTATATTTATAATATTATTTTTCATTTATGAATAATTCTTCGTACCTAGTACTTAATAAAGTATGCATTTGTAATTTGTATACAATACCTATATTTTAATAATTTTAAAACGTTGCATTCCGTATATTTCCGTTTTGAAACTGCTAACATTTATTTAGGAAATTTAAAGAACTATATAATTAATTATTATATACTAAGTTTAAAGTATAAAAATTTAAGAGTCCGTTTTAATGACAAGAAAATCACTTCTCGAAGTATACGTGTATATTAACATATGTCCATATATCTTACTATTTAATCGAGTAAATAATTTAAAAAAAAAAAATTTATTGCAATACATAAATATATTTCGTAGTATATAAAATGGTATTATAGAAATTATCTTCAAATGTTTTGAACATTTAACAAACAAAGCGTATTTGGTGCAAAAGGATTTTCAGTATAAAATTAAACAAATCGGCTACATTGTTATTTTGATTTAATTTTAGTGATTTTTTAGTTTTACATATAGTGTGCAACAATGTATTATGTTAATATGGTACTATTATAAACTTTATTTGACGGATAATTTACAATTCGTGAAAACAATAACATAAAAACATAACACAATACAATAATGAGCAATTTGTTTTTGATTAACTACACAAAACTAAATTTTATAAAATATATATAATATCTAGTTATTACCTTTTCGTTGATTCGCAGATTAAATATTTTAACCAATTTACTGTTGCCCAAGGTAGGTTAAGTTAACCTACCGATTAGTAATATTATGGTGTATGTCTAAAGTTCTATTATATTCATACATACTGTGAAGAATGTGATCAACAAAATAATCATTAATAGACCTTTTGTTTATAGATTGCCTAACTCAATATAATATGAGAACTGTTCTCAGAGCCGATCAAATAATGGAAACGTTATTTAGAATGAAACCTGCAGGGACATTTTTTAAGTAACTGTTTTTTTGGTAGAAAATAGGACTTAATTAATATATCAAAATTATCTATTATAAAAACGAAGTATTATCATTTATTTCAGAGAGTCCTTTCATTGCGTTATTTCTTAGTTTTAAAATACATCACAATGATAATAAATAACAATATAGTTAATAACTGATAAGTTATATGTAATAAGTATAGCCATAGCCCGTAGATATAGGTATAAATTATCATACAATTTCATAGGTATATTTCAGGTATTGTTTTTCAATACATAATTTTATGATAAAAAATACGATGGTATAAAGATTTCTTTCTTAATTGATTCCGTACATTTTGTGTTCAAATTTATTTTCAGAAATACTCTATACTATCCTGTGTCAAAGAGAGCGAAGTGAGAAAAGTTATCTAATCTCGGCTTTTTATGTAGGAGATATTTAATTGATGTAATAAAAGTAAAATATCTGAATATGTACCTGTATAATATACAATGGGTATATCAATCAATGTGTCCTATAGAACTAATTAACAATTATAAATATTCATAATGTGTATAATATATTATACATTTATACACATATGTTGTGACAAAGTGTGTTTGTGGTTGAACCATTGAAGTTATAATTTATAATTTTCATTGTGGTGAAGAAGTGCAGACATTATAACTTTTGTTGTACAATGTAGATATCTACATAATATTGTAAAGCAAATAATATGCATTCCCATCCCCACTTTGGTGACGCACAGGACCATTGGCCGGCAGTCGCGGATTCCAACTATATATCTCCTAACTATACTGTAGGAATAAATAGACAGGTATTTAACGAGATTTTTGTATGATTTTCATTTAACTAATGAAATAATAAATAATTGTGATATTTGTATTTAATCAGTTTAATTATTATTAAAATTATGTATACACTTTTGTGCGAGAAGAAAATTAATGCTAAATGCTTACGTGTTAAGGATAATGTAAATGCTGAAGGATGAAATTTTGAAAACCGAGAGAAGAAATAAAGGATTCAAATTATTTCTGACAGTGTATATTCACTTACAATTTTATCTGTTTATCCTAACGAAATTTAACTGGAAGTAGGTTATCTGTAAAATAATAAAAATAATATACAAAAAATCATCAGTCAACCCTTCTTTTTATATGGAGATTTAAAGTTGCAACTGAATTTATTTTAATCGTCTGTGGGTGTTATAATTTGTGATTTATTATTTTTAACTTAATAATTAAATGTAAAAGGCGCAAGTACTAAAGATAAACATTTAAAAAAAGTTATACTTTTGTCACAGCAGAATGCCTCATTAATTTCAAAAAAATGTAATCAAATTTGAAATGTCCACAAGGATTATAATACTTCACAATAATAAACGTAAATACGTTTTTTGTTGCTGGGGTTCCAATGTCATCGAATGGCAGCTAGGGATGTGTTGTAATTTTTAATAATTGTAAAAATCATTGACCGCCATGTTCAAAAAAACGGTTCTGTGCGGGTATCATTTAGAATTTAAGATTTTATATTGTTTTTAAATTATTGGTCTGCACACGTCTAGAGAAATTAATAAAATTGTTAACTTGGTTATGGCTACAGGTAATAGGGCATAATATAGGTATAATATATTCTTATCGTTAAATACATATGTCATAATATATAGCTACCTATATAGACGCTACGTTCAACGCATTAAACTTATCAGCTGTCTCGATCTGTAATGACGGAAAACTATGTATATATCCAACACTAATATACTAAGTAGAAAATGTATACATATATATATATATATATATAGTAATAATAATAAAATATTATACACTATTTATTTGTCTATATTAAATTTCTAGTCCGTTGGGTCGTCAGCGCTCACCCACCCGTCCAACCCACTTTGTCATCGGGGCCCCGACGACGCCTGTTTTCATTACCTATTATATATATATATTTATATGGGGTCACGCGTACCTACATTAGGAAGTATACAGGGCGATTATTTTAACTGTTAACACTTATTACTTCAAAAAGTATTAACAATTTTGAAATTATTTTTTATATTCCTGAGTATAATATTGTTTTTAGAGAATTTTGATTTAAAAATTTAATTTTAGACGACTAGAATTTACAAGTTAAAAGTATTTACAGTTTAGACTAGCATAGTAGTAAACTGACAGTACCTAATAGTAAAATGTAAAACCGGCCAAGTGCGAGTCGAACTCGCACACGAAGGGTTCGTAGTGTTCGTACCATTATCTATAAGAACGGCAACAAAATCATGTCTGTTGTATGGGAGCCCCACTTAAATATTTATTTTATTTTATTATTAGTATTTGTTGTTGTAGTGGCAATAGAAATACGTCATCTGTAGAAATTTGAACCGTCGAAGTATCACGGTTCATGAGAATTATGAGATACAGCCAGGCGACAGACGGACAAACAGGTCCTTTGGGTACGGAACCCTAAAAACTTTAAAAAAATAATACGATAAAAACAAAAATGTATTGTTTTTCATTACTAAAATTCATGTAAGAAAAATATTTTCAAAAACGTTAGTATTTTGTGATATAAATAAGTGTTTTCCTTTAAAATAATCAGTTTGTGTACGGTATTACAGTAATTAAATAATAATAATAAATACGCCCACTAAACATAAACCGTCATTCGACCTACAGTTGATTCTCATAATATCAAAACGTATAACAATATCAATATTGAATTTTATTATGTCAATTTTGACGAGAGAAAAGGCCATAGTTTGATTTTGTTAAAGTACCATTTCTTTTGAAATGTTGACTTTAACATTCCACGATAAGAACAAAATGCTCACTATTTCCTTTGACAAAAATAATGTCAAAACGAATTTATTCCAAATCACATAAAAACCACACTATTTCCCCGATGCAGTTGCCTGTTATCAATTTTAAATTTAAATCATCAAAATATTTGAGACGACATTCACTGTTTTCAAAAGTTTTTATAAAAAGTTAGAAATACCTACCTATATTATTTCCATATGCGTAAACAATTTACTAAGCTTAGTAATGTATTTAAAATAAAATAAAAATAAATAACTATTGAATCACCCCTAAACTGATGAAATTCTAATGATTTTGTTCCCTACACTAATATTTAGTTCACATTTCAACATTTTCGTCAAAAGTATGCGTTACACGTATAGTATACTGTACAGTATGCTGTATACATTAATAGGTTTTTAAGTAAATCTTATTTCTGAAAAATAGTGAAAAATGGAGAGATGAAATTTGATTTTGTAGCTCCTCCCTCATATAATAGTATAATATTCTGATTTTCGTACCCTATAGCAGTTAATTTATTATTTCACACTTTGATAGAGTCTTATGATTTTTGATATTTATAGAAAATTTCGAGTTTTCAGTACCATATTATTATTAAGTGGGTATCGAGAGATGTTAAGTGACAGTCAAGGCTATTTTATAGGCAAGGCGGTATAATTGTATTCGAACCTTTTAACGTCATTATCTATAAATACTCGTAATTAATCTATACAGTAAAATGATAATAATTTTTATAACTGCACTCGTTATATATAGGTAGCCAATCCAAGTTTGAAGTTTATTTTATATTACTTAAAATCGTATTATTGCAGTGTATATTATTATTAAGTAGGTACACCGCACGCACACATTTGTAACAAATTATTAACAATACCTACAACTTCGCGGCCTCAATTTATTAATTATTTAATATAGAAATACCTGCCCTAAAATATATTAACTCGTAATTACAGTGACGTGGATTTAATATACTCATACTCATAATAAAGTTATGATGTAAATAAAATGTGACCGTTTGGCCACATTTTTAAAAAAAGAGTTCGGGCCATGGCCCGACGTTAGCATGGACTTCTGCGCCCACTTTCTCGGTATACACCGCAGGTATGACGATATATAAATTTCATAGTTGTAATCTAAACCTTTACCGTGGGCCGGGTAGGGGATTAAAGTTTGTCGTCGCCAGGACGTATTCGAAGAGAAACTCGAAAAACAATATCGGTTCTACCAGTGGGACAGTGGGTGTATATAGGACTATAGGAGCATATACGTGGTGTAATATAGCGTACGAAAATCATCCGTCCTGCTGCTAGCCCTGCCAATGACGCAAGTGCGGTGACTACACCAGATTATATATTATATAATATATGTACATATTTAAGTTATATGGTATATATGATAATATGATATTGCAATAGGTGTAACTGTGTAAGTACTAAGCATTATTATGCTACATTGTAATTTATTATGTACCTACCTAGTAACAGAGTTGCACCAAAGATGTCGGTCATTTACTATTCGGTAGAAACAAAATAGTAAATACATATACTTATCAATACTTAATTAAATTAATAAAATAGTCAAATAGTCAATATAGTCCCTCAACAGTCAGGTGAATCGTTAAATTATGTTCTCTGGTTTGTTTATTCTTTTAATGTACACTTTATAAATATTAACATGAATTATTATACATCATAAATTGGACGGTAAAATTCATAAAACGGTAATCTCCGAGGGGGATGTTTTGAGGGGTTGCTATGGCCTCCTTCACGATCCTGTCAAATGTCAGACACTGCAGTTGTACGGAAACTCGTACTTTTACCCAATCGAAATTAAGCTTAACACGGCGTGTCGAGTAGACAATTTAATGTCATGGTATAAATGTTTTAAAATAATGTATCACATATTTATATTAGGTATATCAATAATGCGAGTCACCTAGTCTTTCGTAATCGGTACAAGTCGGTAATTAAATAATAATATGATTATATGACGTGGCGATGGTATCTCAAACTATTATAATATGCAGGCACATATACGAAGGGGAATTTATGTGCCTATCTCCCTCCACTCACCATGAAATATTAAGAAAATGTATTGATATGTTTTTGTACAGTACCAAACTTGGCACGTGGTTTTGCCTTTAATAAAAGATCAATAAAATGCTTCCGTGTTATCACCAGAATAGTATTAAAAAATAATTATTGTTCACGGCACTTATATTTTAATCACGTATAATAAACACTTACTTTATTGTTTTTACGAAAAAATACGAACGTGTGTCATCAATTTTATTATCCACTACCAATCTATGAGTACATATATTTTTTACTACTAAGATTTTCCCCTCCAATATTGATGATGGCCGAATCTGAGGTATTTTTTTTTATACTTTAGACCAGTAGGAGGACAACCATGCTAACTGTTCGTCGTTAAGTAGACAGTAGTTGCTCATTTTTGCTACCTCCCGTCTTCCCTATCTTTATAAGTACAATGCTTGTACATTTTATGTTCAACACTAAAACATAATTTTAAAATCATAAGGTTTCTAGATTTTGTTTAGTTATTACTTATTATGAGGAAAAGGAAATATCTAACTATTAAAGAAATAGTAAACTATATTATTTTAAATACAAAATTTAATTTTAGACGAACAAATTTTATCACATTTAACAAAAAAAAAATTTAAATACTGATGATTTAGCTACCTACTTAATACAACTAATTATTGATAATAATATAAAGTTGCACCGATGGCTCTGATGCGATTTGATTTACTTCTGGTGTACAAAATATAATCTAATATAAATAATAAACAACACATACAAATAATATTAAAATATTCATAAACGAAAAAAAGGCATATAAAAAAAATAATACACAACATATTTTGACTTTGTCTGTATAATATCTGATTGCACATAATGTTAATGGTTGGTAAAATAAAGTAATATTATCACATTTCAAAATGTGGACACATATTGTATGAACAAATATGTAAATGGTAAAAATAAAATAATAATAATAATCAAAAAATAAACATATTGCTTTGGTCGACATCTCTTGGTATGTTTGTCACATTAATTAAATAATAATATTTTTATTGTATCAATAACAATTGTCAATATTGTATACTGATTTAAACGAGTATCTTTCAATCATAGAAGACAAATAATACACATACACATGTCACACTTACACATTTATAATGACCAAGAGATGCCAAACAAATATATATAAATATATATGTATAAAAAAAACATTGAACATAAAAATAAAACATAATATGACTGGGAAGATTAACTAACTGCATAATATACATAATAAATCTATCAAAATCTTAAAACAAGGTCATAATATATAATAATTATATTATTATTTATAATAAACCGTAAAAAATATTTCAATTTACTCCATTACTAAGTAATTTCTGATCACTACTAAGTAATAGTTATTTCATTCATCAAAATTCTCATAAAATAGAAGTTTTAGTAGATTTTTTTTCAATAAAAATGTTTTACTTTCTTTGTCTATATTTTTGATTAATTTTTTTTTAAAAATATATTTAAACAGAAATTAACAGTGCATTTGAAATAAGTGATTTAGAGTTGAATCATTTTTGTTTTAAAAATTGTTGTATTAACATTATACAAACATTCAAAATTCATCATTTGATATGGTAATTCCATGACACAAATATTGAATTAGTACAAAAATAAATGCTTATTAGGTAAATTAAGATTAAAGATATATATTTATACCAAAAAAAAGGAGAGATAAGACATTTACTTAGACAGGATTTTTGTTAAAATTAAAATTAAAATGTTTAGCATAAATTCAAACTATTATTTACCGATCTTCTAACCCCCATACATATTTTTAAGAACTAAAAATGGAATTTCATTATTGCTTAAAAAGAAATATATATTATTACCTAAAAAACAAATGAGAAATTGATATTTCATAATAAAAAAGTTGTTCCTTATTTCATTAGACACATAATAAAATAACTAGATCAGTCATCAGTTTTAAATTTACAATGAAGCTCACATATCCTATATGCAGGTATATATATTATATATATAGTATATACACACCCTTTTGAAAGGTGAATCATGAACAATTTAATTCATTTGAATTAAAAGTATGGATAAAACAAGTGGAAATCGCAAGTATTCACTATATATAGTATAAACTAACAACAACTTATTTTTGTATTGTTAGTGTCTATGTTACCACATGATAATGAACATAATATACCGTACAATATTAACAGCATTTTAGTGTACCAAACTTAATATATTATATTCACAACTCCATATGGGATATAATTTTGAGCATTAATGACTATATTGAATAAAAAGAAGAAAAAACTACCTAGTTATAGTACAAAAACGAATGGAACACTTGAATTTGTTTGTATAAAAAAGAAAAGCGGATGTAAATATCAGATACATAACATATTATGTATTTCAATTCTAAACCACAAGGTAATTTTTTTAATAAGAGGGAAAAATTATTTTATAATTTTTTTATTATACAAAATATAATATAATAATAATTATAACTTATATCATAATATATAAATATCACAAGTGTTTTCACTGAATCCTTTTATTGTGTTAAAAATATTAGTGCGGTATTGTAAAGAGTGTAATATTTTGGGCAAGGATAAATAGTCACCAAGTAGAAATTCTTAAGAATCTATCATAAGTATTTTTGAACTGTCATGGAAGTTATTTCTAATTTGTTCGGTAATATAAAAGATTTTTTTTATTTTATTATTTAAGTAGATTTTTTTGTTCATAAGAACTTATAAGTAAATATTTTGATCCCCAAAATGTATATATGCATATATAAACAAATAACACTTGATTAAAGTAAAGAGTAAAAAATTAGATTACGTTATCTTGAGCTAGCTTGCCAGTGAAAGTTACTCTTCATTGTCCATTGTTGGCTACGTGAACCATCACATTCATTTAATATGGCAGCATACTGATCAGCAGACATTGAATGCTCTAGACATTGATCTGTAGTTTTATGTTTTATTGTCATTTCCTGAAAAGTAAATAATTGATTAGCCGAATAATATATTATAACTGCAAATTATTCTAATAATTCTGCATATCAATAATCAGGAATATTTAACAAATTTACCTTTGAATCATAAACCCATGCCTGATTGCCCTCAAGACCGTGGCATCTGATTAGACTAACTGGTCCAACAATGTTGGAAGCATCTAAACAATTATCATCAGACATAATTTGTGACCGTTTAGTATATGCAAAAACCTGTTAACATATTTAAAGATTAACATAAAACATTTGAAACATAAAATAAACTTATTGAATTACTTGATTGCCACCAAGACCATGACAATAACTCATGCCAACTTTTTCACCGCTTTTCCGTGACATTGTATCTAGGCACTGTTGGGAGTCAACATTTTTAATCTGAACAAACAAAAAAGTCATTATTAAACATTGATCTAGGGTTAGTTTTGTTTTACTGACTTCTCCTAGATAATAGTAATCAAGTGGCATTTGAGATTCAGGATAAATGTTTTCCAAGTACCAACGGAAAGACTTGCATTTTAACTTTTCTCTTAAAGCCAAACGTTCAGAAACATCTCCAACTTCAACGTTAGACGCACCTTATTATTAAAAAAATTAAATTAATACACACTTTTAATTTAATAGTTATCATTTATTATTCGTAAATAATTAAAACTATTATATAAAAAATTATGCTGATAACAATAATTGTTTGCCCATAATGCTATTTTTAACAAACAACGTGATCAATAGATATCATGCAAGTAAATAAAACTATAATCCACAAGGCCAAGTTTATAAAGTGTACAACATGCAAACTAGTTTTATTTAATATAATTTAATTTACCAAATTTAGGAAAATTAGTTCCCCAAAAATATCAGCATTTGGACAATTAGCCCCGTCATAATTGTATACATGGACAATTGAGCAGGACAGACAATTCACTTTTCTGGGACATTGAATTTTTTTTTTTTTTTTTTATTGTAATTATGATATGGTATATTTTTTTTTTCAATGGCTAGTATTAAGACAATTCATTATTATTACCAATACACATGAGCATATAGATCAGTGACAACTATTAATCATTTAAAATATACAGTTCACCAACAGTTTCAATAATCGGAATAATCAGCAATAAATGACATTACCAAGGGAAATATTGATTGAGATAATAAATTATGGAGAGTAGTCAGTGTAGAATCTACTACTAAAAAATGTAGATCATGGTATATTTTAAAACAGTTTCTTAAAAAAAGTTAGTCTGTTATAATTTATAGCCAATCTAAATGTGTATCCTAATTCATCTTATTTATAAATGCTCCTCAACTGATAAACTGTTTTTGTAAGTGACACTTTGTGATATGATAGTATACATTTGTTAAATGTATTATGCTGCAAAACAAAATACTCAATAAAATGAATAGGCCTGGAGACCAATTGTCCTGGTATAAAATTATGACAAGAGCCAATTGTTCACATACTACGTTTTACTGCGAGAATCAACAGTCCGTTTACCTAATTTACCATATAAATTATAATGTAGTGTTAAACTATGAAATCAATGAGTCAACTATAAAAACTGCTGAAATTACAAAAATATGCCAACATCTTTAATCATGCATGATAATTTTAAATTCATAAATAAATTATTGGTTGGATATCTATTATTTAAATAAATATTCAATGAAGAATACGTAAAAAAAATAGTGATTAAAAAATAATCAAAAACAATATTGTGTATCAAGTTATGAAAAATAAAAAGATAAACATTCATAACTACGTGGTGTGCAAGGGTGTAGAGAAAAATATCACACTGTCACAATAATAAGTATAAGTGTTTGTGTGCTTGAAATGTTGTCAATCACATAGGAGAAGGGGTACCTGGGTTTATGGCGTAGTAAAAATGTTTCCACTCATCCATCCAGACCTCGGCGAGGCGGGCATTGTTGTGGTTGACTATATGTGATGTGCCACCGGGAAAAGTGTAAGGTGTGGATTTGCGAAAAACATGACCAACATGTGAGCATGGCGATATTTCCAGTGTGCCGCCACACATCCAAATCTATGAGTAATCATTTCAATATAGATAATATTGAAAGAAAACTCTTGGTTCATGTTGTATATGAATAAAGATGTATGTATTTAGACACACAAACACAAACACAATATATCCATTTCCTACCCCTCTGTATCAATTGTGGCACACATCAATCAATACGTACAAGTGAGGACTGCACAGATTCATACAAAATGCATGGAGGACTGTGTAAACCTTAATTCTTATCATTTTTATATTTTGTATTAAACATTATAATATACTTAACTTAAATATTATAATACGGGAACAATAATATTTAAACCAGCAAAGCAACATTAATTTGGTTAGATAGTTGTTTCATGTTAGTAAATTTTAGAAAAGCGGAACTAATTTTCACAGGCCACATATATTATCCTATACCTGGATTCATTGCATAATAGAAATCTCGCCATTCGTCCATCCAAACCTCAGCTACACGAGCTGCATTGTGCAACACGATTTTCGATACGCCTCCCGGAAATGAGTATGGTGACTTGTCACGAAATACGTGACCTACGTGCGAACATGGTATTATTTCCAGTGTGCCGCCACATTGCCACACCTAGAAATATCCACATCAACTACTTTTCCCCCATAACTAAATTTCTTAAAAAGAATATTTAATTTCTGTACTAAACCCAATTTTTAATTCAAGTATCTGTATAGAAATTATTCATATTTTATTTGACATTTTACTGATTAACCAGAATGAAATTAAATTTAAATATATGATTTATTTCACTTAAGGATTGTGGTACACAATACTTACTCTGAATGACATTTCAAGATTCTCACCACCCCATATATCCATTCCTTCATCGTATGAGCCTAATTCATAAAAATAATCTTTGTCTATAGAAAATAGTCCACCAGCCATCGTGGGAGTTCTTAATGGTGCTGTGCGATCTTGGTTTCGGCGAGTCATTTCTCTTTGAGGAACTCTGTACCTAAAATGAATATCAAAAATATTGAGTTAAACAAATTACATATTCAAATTTATTGAAATACATACCACCTAAAATTCAGCTTCCAATTGAATCCACCCCATGTCATATCAGATGCAGTAACATATTCGAATGTGTCATCTGATATTACATCAATTACTGGACACACTACAGTTTTCCTAATAATAAAAATATTTCATTAACATTTTTAATGAAATATAATACAAACAAATTTATAAGTAGGTAATTAAACATACCGATTTAGTACAATTCTAGCTAAAAGTGGTTCAAGCCAACCATCAGCACATTCACAATGTGCATCCAAAAATGTTATCACTTGGCCTGTAACATGTTTAGCTCCAAGTAATCGAGCTCTTATAAGACCAGAACGTTTTTCTGTCCTTAGCACTTTAGTTTCTACAGGAAGAGTGGCAACATAGTCTTCCAATTTTTTTCCCAAAAAATCTGAAATGACAAAATAAAATATACAGAGATGGCAGTCTTATTTTCAAGCATACATTTGGGCAACTGAACTTACCTCTTTCACTTGCATCATCTACCAACAAAATTTCTTTCAAGAGGGATCGTGGTGATCGGTTAATGACACTCCACACAGTCCTCAAAAGAGTGGACCACGCTTCATTGTGAAACACGATTACTATTGAAGTGGTGGGCATCAAAGTAGGATATTGTTTGCTTTTACATTCTCCTTGTCTTATGTCTTGTAAAGATCGATTCAGTGAGATCATATCGCTAGCTATTATGTTAAACTGGTTCTCTTTGAATTTTTGTTTCATGATAGCTTCTTGTTCAGGTTTCATAGTGACACCGCGTCCTCCTTCGCCATGTTTACCACGCTTTTCACGTACAGGAGGCATCGGCTTCCAGCGCATCAACATGTGACTAGGATAAGTGGAATCGTCGCTGCGGTCACCACCGTGCCTGAAACGGTCAAGCATGTTGTCCTGCACAGGTCCCCATCCCATGCGTGGTGCTGCGGAGGCTGCGAACAGCTCATTGACACCGTCATCGGAATTGACAACAGAGGTGCTCTTCACCTTGCAGTTGGGACCTATGCAATCAGTGTAGTACATGAGTACCATGATGTCAATGAAGATCCACAACAGCGACGTGGCAATGATTATCTTGCAAGTATGCAGACGGAACTTGCTGCGAAACATGATGGCGAAACGAGTTGTCGAAGGGAGTAAGGGAGCAAAAACTTTCCTGGTCTACCTGCGCACGAACAACACTATCATAACAGCTCTAGATCGTCCTGGCCAGTGTCCGGAGGTGACGGTTGAACGCGACGGCAGAGTACTGCCAATGACATGTATATGAGTATACGCGCGACGGACGGCCACGGATGCCTAATGCGATACGTAAGTACTAAGCTGCAGTTACTGCCGGTTTAGAATGGCATCAAAGTATAAAATTTGTTTCGAACGATCACCAATGTCGTGGTTCGTTTCACGATTCACTGGAATGACTGAATTTATTACTTTTCTATGGTAATAACTGTTGGTGTAATATAGTAGTAGACGCAGACGGGAACACATCACCAAAATCACTATCACTGGTTTTGAAATATTATTATTATTATTATTGTGTACAAAACATAGGTTTTATAGGTTAGGTCCGTATCACAGAGTAACATAGAGTACGGCTAGCCAGGACGTTTATAGATAATATTATTATTTTTTATAAGGTATATACAGTTTATACACAGAATAGATGAAATAGATTTCGTCTATTCTGTGGTATATAAAAGGTCCATCTTAAATCGTGGTTCGATCATACTTCTACGCATTAATGCATAATACTGGTCTATTGTTCTATTCTGTGATATCACCAAAGAACAAACATATCACGGTCTTTATACAATATTATCTATGGGTATCAGTATTGAACACGGTGGCACCATAGATAATATAAATTGTATACATACAAGACCGTGATATAGACCAATATTATGCACTGAAGTTTGTTCTTTGGTCAAACCACGATTTAAAATGTACCTTCTAATAATATTATTTATGGGTGGCATTGCTTAAATTATCTAAGATCGTAGCTTAAAATAATATATACAAAAAAATATATTTTACACCGCGGTATTCACTAATCACTAGCTGATATTCAGTGAGTGTAGATAGATAATGCATTATATTATTATACATATTATTTTGTTATTTATATCTAAAGGCATAGTTACATCTGTGAAAATAGTAAAGTAAAAATACTAAACAACAATATGCAATGCAAATGAATGAATTTACAAATTTATAATTTATAAATTTAATTCATTAACATACAAATAAATAAATGTACTGTTTACGACATTTTTCATTAAATAATGATACAAATTCAATAATCCTTTTACATGACATTGGTTTATCAATCATTACCCATTAAATTGGGTGATAAATCCATAACGTGAATGACAATTATAGTCAATAGATGATCATATTATACTTCGAGTAAAACCAAAGAACTTATTTTTCAATTTATACATTGTACATTGAATACATCATAATGATTCAGGGCTGAAATGTCCAGTACCTAGTACCACCGAAATCTTCGATGGAAACGTCCAAATACCGAATATACATGATCATTTATTATGTATAGGTAGCGAGTACTTCAAAACTGATAAACATAATATTTGATGAGCTCCTCCGTAGTTAATAGATCTATGCTATTTTCTATATTTATTTGAGTCTGAGTGATTAGGTGGATACTAGTATTAGTAGTATTGAACATTTGAACCACTATTAAAGAAGTATAGCTAATCAGCAGAAGCTGTGGAAAGTGCCTTTATATTTTATGTTTCTCTTTCATCTTTCATGTTGGACGGGTAAATAGTAAATAGCCACTACATCTTAAAAATGTCGTTTCAACCAAAACCAAAAATTATTAAATGGCTTCGAAGTTCCAAGGAAGGGAAGGATAGATAAATAATTTAGTAATCGTATTAATGAAAATTTTAAATTGTTACGTTGTTAGTAGGTATTTATTTAGTCATTCATCTGATGAAAATCCAGACTCGTTATTGAACGTGAATCTAAATGATTATGTCAAACCTAGTTAGAACAAACGTTTTCTAAAATTGTCAAAATCACTAGTTTGCCTTCAATAGAATTATTATTAACTTTAGTTGATTACTTGTCTATAAAATTGTCAAGACAATCTTTGATTAAATGTTGTCCCATGTATATAAAAACAACAAAAATAAAAACCACGCAACATGATTCAAATGAGTTTCAGCTATTGAAAATTGAATATTGATTATTGACTACTGGAATACTGAAGTAGTGAGGTATTATCATTATATTGTTCTATTCTGTGGTATTATCGTTAAATGTTAATTAATTATCAGTTATCATAATTAGTCGGGTTGTAAACAAAATGGTGGATGCACATACTCATACCAGTCATACCACAGATTTGAGATTTCTATTTAGTATAGAACCTTGATAAAATATAAGCAATATTTAAATTATAAAAAATGTCTGGGGAAGTAAACTACATTCGTTCCTAAAGTTTAAATGTGTATAACCGCTACATAGTATTTTTTGAAGAATCGGCCTTCTTAGCGCTCCTGGCTGACAATACCCGCCCTAAATTCCTTCATGATAGCCATGAACTAAGATATATATGTATATCTTAGTTCATGATGATAGCAGCTGATGATAAGATATTATTTATTTATTTTTTGTGATTACGAGTTACGACTTGCTTTTCGATGCCGAGTAACTACTACGATTAAAGATATACGGGTAGTTTATCGCCCTATAGTAAAGACCTTTCAAATTGACTTACAAAGTGACTATTCAAAATAGATGTACGATGTTTTCATTTGCCATGACGTGATAAAATAATAAAAAAAAAAATAATCGAATCAAAAAGTTCTATACTTCTATAATCTAATGTTCAAGGTAATGTTGTGACTATATAGTGACAGACGCGCCAAAAAAAAATATTGTTTTGATAGTTGATGAATTGTAGTATTTTAGCAATAAAAAATTTCAATTAACTTGTAGAAATAGAAATAATTTTGTTTGAATCATACACGATGAACGTTTATGATAGTATCGTAAGAGGTACACAAGCAAGTCGATTAATACTCATTGAAGGTGAGACAACGTCAACAATTTATGCAATTTAAATATTCAAATTTATACATTTAACTAACCTTTAGATCATGTACAATGTGTGTATAATTGTATATGTCATATGATCTTAGACTTAACCTAACTGTTTAATTTTATATATTTATATTAATATATGATAATACACCCTAATATCACGTATTAAAAGGATATCATCGCAATATTTGTTTTCTCTCTCAGACCCAGATAAAACGTATTCACCTAAAATCATTTTTTTATGATTTTTGAGTAACCTTAGAGTAAAATCACCTATTACCCAAATTATAGATTATAATATTTTTGTGGGCTTAACTTATTACTTTTATATTTTATTATTATTTGATTTTGTATTTAACTTTCAAAATAAAAAAATTAATATCTAATTTTAAATTGTGCTTAAATTGTTTTGAGACAATATTTAGACAAATCAAAATGTTTTTCCCTTAAAAATATTATTCTCTATCGATATTGTAATGGGTAATTTTACCTTAAGATTATTCAAAACATAAAAAAAGATTCTGCATAAATGCGCAACTATGTTGAGTATGGGCTAGAGAGAGAAAACAAACAGTGCACTGACATTCTTCTAATGTATATATTTAAAATTTATTATAATAAATTTGAACATTTAGATATCTATTTAGGTGATCATAGTGGTGTCATTTAATTTTTTTCTTTTAGCATAAAAATTATTTAAAGGCCACAAACACTATTTAGAATGTATTAATTTTACAGGTCAATTAATTTAAGAAATGGGCCAAATCATAATAATATTGGAATTTTTAATATTTAAATATGTTCCTTGTGTCGTCTAAATAGCATCTCTGGTCACTTTTAGTTTGTATTGAAGGTTCTTCTTACGTTATATTGTTTTAGTAAAAATCGAAATCAATTATATCACATATACTCTATAGGTATCCAATATTAATTAAAAATGTCAAACTTGTATTTCAATTTGTAACTATCATTACTAATCTTCTATAGTCTATTTTACAAATTAAGTAAGTTTTCATCATACAAGTAGGTGGTAAATCTAAAAATCTTAAAATAGTATGATTCTGTAGTATTTAAACTGTAATTGTATTTTAATTTATATTATAACTATTTGAAATTTTCAATTCATAATAAAAAAAAATCATATAATTATATTACTATATTATTTTTATTTATTTATTTATTTGATAATTATGGAAGTTAATTAACCTAATATACATTAAATACTGGTGTCAATTATTTATCACTGGTTAAAAATATTTCTGTATTTTTAACTTAGTTTATAATGAAACTACTGATTTATGAATATTTTACATGTTATGAATGTATTCTTATAGCTATATAATATATATTTTAAAACATTGTAATAATTATTTTTAAGTTATTAATGGTTTTCTACTTTTGTTTTTTTCAGATTCATTTTTAGCTAAAGGACAATTTCTATTACATCTTATGTCTGCAAATCGTAAATCTTATGACATCCATGTACTTTGTTATGAAAATTTAGTACCTAAATATCAAACTTTATTTCCCTCATTGTCTAATATTCAATACCATGATTGCTTCGAGATCCTTAATAATTGTGTTTCCCCTTTGGAAGAGATTATAATACGTGTAGCTGCAAAATCAACCAGAAAAATAGTCATTTTTATTGATTCATTGTCTATGTATATGCTTTTAAATAGATTTAATAAAGTGTATAGAGAAATATTGGATATTACATCGTCAGATAAATGTAATTCAATTTATTATTTTTTTTACTCATTAGTATTATAATGTATAACTTGTCCATAAACAATATTTGATTTTTGCTATTATATGGTTTTAGTTCCTAACATTGTTCAAGTTGTGGCAGTAATACACAATGATGTAACAGAAGTTAATCAAATTGGACACCTGAAAAACTTATGTAAGACTCATGTACTTGTTCAAAGTACTAACAATCCTTTAGTTTTAAATTTAAGATTAGAACATAAAAGGTCAAATGGTAAATGTGTAGTACAGGTAATTATAAAATATATGGTTATTTATTTTTATGTTTATAATTATATCTGATTTTATCTTATTAAGAAATTAAAAGGCGAATTAAAATCTGATATTGTATTTCAATTAATAAATGACTTACCACCACAACAAATCGAAGAGGATAAAAGCATACCAACAAATTTAGCTAGTTTTAAATTAGATTTACAAGCCAGTGAAAAGAAAGCCAAGGAAGAATTAATTTTACCATATACTCAGTATGTTAAATGCTTATTTAGAATTAAAATTGTATTTTAATTATTCCATGATATTTTTTTTAGAGTGCAAATTCCATCCAATACTGGTGGAATGATTCATTACGTTCCAGATGAAGCAGATGACTGGGATGAAGAAGATCCGGACGATGACTTAGAAATATAGTATTATATCATACTAATACTATTTATACATTGTGTTATGTAAATAGAATATGTACTTATGCATTTTGTTTTGAATTTGGTATAATATTTTCATAACAACTTTTTTCATCAATTCAATAGTGAAAAAGAATTAAAATATTAATTGTGTGCCTTAATAATTTTTTTTTAAAACATTCTAAATTAATTCAATTTCTCAATTTGCAAGTAACATTTTTATGATAAGTGAGTATGTTAGGTAATATAAAGAACATTATATTTTTTATAAACTTGATTAGTGTAAGTCAAAATAATAAAAAAGTTCAATATTATGAAATTGGTGTGTATCATACATTATTTAGTGTTTAATGACTATATAAAAATTGAAAACATTATTGGATATTGAATTATCTGATGTTATATATGCTTAAGAGATTCATCAGTAAGATCAGCCTGCCAAGATGATATATTAGGTTGAAATTAAGAAATTTCTAATTAGAAAATGTAATTAAATTAGTTATGTGTTACAGCTGAATGCAATTTTAATTAATTTAAAATGAAATATTTAGAAATAGTTTTTATTAATACTTATTAAATCGCTATTATATGCATGAATCATTAATACTTAATGTTAAACAAACCAGTGACTCAACCAATAATAATTAACCGTATTACTATAAACAGAGGTTCCCACTTCACAACCTCCACTCCAGGCAACCTTTATAGATTTGTAAAATTATCCTCATTGCTGATGTCCCTTATTAAAAATCATTGTGTTCTTTTTTTTGCTTGTAATTATAAATACTATAAATTAATAATTAAAATTATAAATAATAATGTCGGTAACTAGAAACAATTTGAATTATTTTTAATAAGGGCTTAATAATATAAGTACAATATAATATTTGAACAAGTACTACTACTAACGTGCAGTTCTATACAAAATTAAAGTAATTTATTCTACTATTAGGCATTAGTTATACCATAGGTAGGTTAAATTAATTTTTGAAAAAAAAAATTTATTTAACAATGTTATTATGTGTATAAAATATAATAATACACTCTAAAAGTTTCATATACTCACGAATAGTATTTTTAAATTACAAAAAAATAACTAAATCGTTTTTTTGAGGTTAATATGTAATTTCGTTCAATTATGAACTTCAAATGACGGTAAAAATAAATATGTGTATATTTTCGAGATTTTTTGGTTACAGTATGAACTATTTATGAGAATCATTGATTTATATTTTAAATTCCTAGCAATAAAAATGAACATTTTATAATTTTTTTAACTACAAAAAAATTTAAATAAATATTTTGTTAAATTTTGTCAAAACTGAACTGTAAATACTTATGAAAAAAAAATCTTGTTCATGGATTTTAAATATTTAAGTAGTTTAATTCACTCTATAATTTTGATGTAATAATAGAAAATTAATTTTGGTGGACTTAAAATGTCCCATGTGGTACCTACGCTTATTGTTTTAAAGACGGTTAATCGGAGTACTCGGACTTTGGAGACAGGCAGACAGCACATGCAGAAATACTATTTGTTAAGTACCTTAAAGTGCTGGTATAACTGTAAAAGGTCTATGAGCTAAGCACGATTAAAGATGAACCTATTTAGATTTTAGAGTATTAAAAGTACCTATACCTATAATCGTCCATAAAATTTTGTTTGATACCTCGCATCATGAATCCGCCGTCACTCGTTACTAGCCCGACACGAGCGATGAGCCCCTGGTATACGGTGGACTCGTTATGTGGAAATTTCGACGGACGGCTTCGTCTTTCGTTTGACGCGTTGACGGACGCTCGCACTCCGATAGGGCTGTCGCATACGGTCCTGGTATCCAGAACGCGGCTTGTCCCGTGAATATCGTAATATTCGATCACTTCCGGCCGATAAATATTGTAATTCGTATCGATAACAATAACATTTCGTCGTCGGAACCGTAACAATTATCGCAGTCACATAAAATGTTATGTAATTACCGGAACCACAGGAAATACTATTTACTCTACAGCCTGCGATTGAAGTAGCCTGGCGGGTTTCTCAATCGACAGACACAGATCTGAGACCGCCAGTATTATGGGACACTGGTTGTTTCGTCGGTTGTTTGAGCGGAGCGCGTGCCAAACGCGACCGACANTCAATCGACAGACACAGATCTGAGACCGCCAGTATTATGGGACACTGGTTGTTTCGTCGGTTGTTTGAGCGGAGCGCGTGCCAAACGCGACCGACAATGTTATTATGTGTATAAAATATAATAATGCACTCTAAAAGTTTCATATACTCACGAATAGTATTTTTAAATTACAAAAAATAACTAAATCGTTATTTTTGAGGTTAATATGTAATTTCGTTCAATTAACGGTAATAATAAATATGTATATATTTTCAAGATTTTTTGGTTACAGTATGAACTATTTACGAGAATCATTGATTTATATTTTAAATTCCTAGCAATAAAAATGAACACTTATAATTTTTTTAACTACAAAAAAATTTAAATAAATATTTTGTTAAATTTTGTCAAAACTTGAACTGTAAATACTTATGAAGAAAAATCGTGTTCATGGATTTTAAATATTTAAGTAGTTTAATTCACTCTATAATTTTGATGTAATAATAGAAAATTAATTTTGGTGGACTTAAAGTGTCCCATGTGGTACCTACGCTTATTGTTTTAAAGACGGTAATCGGAGTACCCGGACTTTGGAGACAGCACATGCAGAAATACTATTTGTTAAGTACCTTAAAGTGCTGGTATAACTGTAAAAGGTCTTATGAGCTAAGCACGATTAAAGATGTACCTATTTAGATTTTAGAGTATTAAAAGTACCTATACCCAATACCCATAATCGTCCATAAAATTTTGTTTGATACCTCGCATCATGAATCCGCCGTCACTCGTTACTAGCCCGACACGAGCGATGAGCCCCTGGTATACGATATATTTTAAAACATTGTAATAATTATTTTTAAGTTATTAATGGTTTTCTACTTTTGTTTTTTACAGATTCATTTTTAGCTAAAGGACAATTTCTATTACATCTTATGTCCGCAAATCGTAAATCTTATGACATCCATGTACTTTGTTATGAAAATTTAGTACCTAAATATCAAACTTTATTTCCCTCATTGTCTAATATTCAATANACAGGAAATACTATTTACTCTACAGCCGGCGATTGAAGTAGCCTGGCGGGTTTCTCAATCGACAGACACAGATCTGAGACCGCCAGTATTATGGGACACTGGTTGTTTCGTCGGTTGTTTGAGCGGAGCGCGTGCCAAACGCGACCGACATTCGTTATCGACCTTTTTTAGGAGGACACGACTCTTCGTCCGCACGACGTTTTGTCTATACGTACCGCCGTGCCCGGTTAGTTTTTTATACTGCTATTTATAGTTTATAGTTATAAGAAAACATTTACGTTCTGTTGAATTTATAGAGCAGGAAAGGGTGAAGAGTTTTTTTTTCATACTTTTATTTTACAGCGATTTATAAGTGTTTGAATAATTTCATGTCACGAAGTCATGTCAGTCATGAAATTTACTTGAAAAGATGAGAACGACTTTTTACATTTTAATTCAATTTTTACTTTCATATTATTGCTAAACACTTAAATTCTTAATAGTTTAAAATTTAAAAATCTAATTTTGAAGTTCAATTTAAAAAAAAACGTGCTTTTATCAAAACTCTATTCCTGATCACAGACAACAACAACAGGCTATTCATATAAGTATTTAAATTATAGTTGACATAGAAAACGACAGTCCTATAAGAACCGTATGGCTTTTGGGCACCTCCACAGAACTTAAGAAAAAATAAAGAGTAATAAAAAAAGGGCTTTTTCAACGCATTAAACTGGTTAAACTCTAACACTTAAAAATATTTAAGCATCATGAACACAATAATTGCTACAACGGAAATTAATAGCCAAGTTTACATTTAACATGAAAATATAAAACAAAATAAATCAATAATAATTTTGTATTTATCTATTCTGTATTTACTTAAATGTACATATGTAAAAAAAAAAACTGTAACTAATGGCCTTTGTAGCCAATGCATTTTAAGAACAATAACAAAAAAAAATACATCTATTAAAAAATAACAAACAAATTGTTCAATTATAAACACTTTTTTTGTGATGATATAATATATTATGTATTAATTCGCAGGGCTTGGATTTATATAATGCTCTAAAAAAAATTATGGTACCTATATGTTTTAATAAAAACGGCAGAAATGCTCTTAAAATCATTGTTTAAAAAAAATTACAATTTTTGTTTTGGTTTTAAAATTTAAACAAATATAAAACAAGTTAATGTTTATTTATTTATTCATTATTATAAACCTAATACAAATTTCTGAAAACAATAATACAATTATAATAGCTAATAGGTAGGTAGGTAGTGGAGAAAAAAAAATATGGCACAATATTAAGTATATTAATAAATAATTGTGTAGGCAGACACGAGACTTTGAAATTTGAATTTACATTTGTATGATTCTTCAAATAAATCCAATCTGATAAAATTATTCTTTGTGTACCTATGTAAAGTCACAAAAGTTTGTGCAATATTCCAATACGCCATATAAATTATAAATACCTAACAAATCTGTCCTTTGAATAAATTATGAATCTATGCTCTAAAAACTGTAAAATGTTAAATGTCAGTTTAAAACCATAGTATATCAAATATTAGCTTTTCAAATGAGATTGTAGTATTTAATTTTTAAATATTATACTTGAATTAAGATAGGCAATTATTTGTGTAATTTTGATATATTAGTATTTACGTGTTTACTAATAACCCAATATTATCTATTCAGTGTAACCTGCACTTATCTACAGATTAAAACAGTGCTATACCTACACAGTAGGTAAGCACTCAATTTAATCAATTGGCAATAACTAAGAATTATTTTAGGCAGCATGCAGATATTAAAATAATTATTTGTGTTGATGTTTTGAATTTTGGAATTTGTTATGGATGCCCCTTGCCCTCTTTAATGTGTCATCGTTTTTTTTTACACAAATCATATTCCATTCTTCTAAACTCACAGAAACACATAATCTCAGAGATTTTAAGCTTGTTAACAATAGTACAGTATATATAGGTATATAACGAGACTTCACAGAATCAACTAATAAACATCGCTATTCTAAATATTGT